CAGATCTCAACCTCCTGATTAGCCAGGATTACAGGCATGAGCCACCAGCATCTGTCTTCATTTTCTTTTGAGCAACTGTAAGTGGTATTTTTTACATTTCAGTTTCAATATGCCTGTTTTAAATTTTTTAAAATTATTATTGTAAAGGTGATATTCAGAGGAGTTACAGTTATGTAAGTCAGGTAATGAGTACATTGCTTTTTGAAGTGTCATCTCTTCCCTTATTTTCTCCTAATTGTTCCCTCCCGACCCTATTTCCCCACAATTTATATAGTTCATTTTCAAAATTATGTCTAGTGAGTAGACAATGCTTTTGTCTACTGCTGCATTTGTTCACCCTTTGTCCCACCACTTTTATGTTCTCCCCTACCTTCCCCAAATCACATAAACTTACAAAAGGTACAGAAATCAAAAACAGTGACAAAGGAGAAAAAAAAGCAACACAACAAAAAAGTTGTTTCTATTTCTTAGAGTCCATTTTGAAAAACATTGTTATATATATAAAGATCATATGCACATAGCTATTGAACCTTTATGCTCCTCTCCCAAGAATATCCTCCTTTGGTCTCACTGTGTGAATGTTTAGAGTCCTATGTAAGTTATCATGTCCAAGTATAATTTTTTGTCTTTTACCATCCAGTGTGTTTACTTGTAGATTTATAGGCACATTCTAGTTATAACAAACGAGGGAAAACATGCAATCTATGTTTCTTTGAGTTTGGTTTACTTGGCTTAATTAATTTTTTTCTAAGTCTTTTCATTTCCTTATGAATGGTACAAATATTCTGATGGAAGCATACAGAAATTCAATTAATTTCTCTATGTGAGCTTATATTCTACATTCTTACTGACTCTGTTTATATATTCTTTGGGATATTCCACATTAACCATCAAGCCTAAAAACAGAAATAACTTTGCTTGTTCTTTTCTAATTTTTATGCCTTCAAGTTTTTAACAATGGTCTCAAAGCTGATGCTCTGTTCAGCTCCTTTTGAATGGTCTTCTTTTACTTTAAAATATTATTAGATTCTTTTTAAGACCATAAAAGAGCTAAAAATAGCTGTCCGGTGAATAATTTAGTTAGGTAAAGATATCAATGTTATTAATCAGAGTATTTTCTTTTCTGACAATGACAGTTTCAATTTTAGCAAATGAGCAGTTTAAAATTTAAGTCATAAAGTGAAATATGTGGCTGACATAAACCTTGCTGTTTAAACTGACCAGCTGGACAGTTAGAAAACAAGCACTATGAAGATACAGTTATGCAGGTTTATATTTTCTGATAGCCTCCAGTTCCAGACTACATCTGTTTTCTTTGATACACAAAACCAGAGTTAAAATAGCTCTATTTATCACAGCATGATTGTAGGCAGACAAACCAGTCTGTCTGTTTCCAGATAGTGAAAGCAACTGTCATTAATCACAATTACAGGCCAACTCCTCCAAGAAAAATTGCATCAATATTCTTGCAACCCCCAGCTCTTCCACTCTGCAACTCAAAAACTGAGTGGCATGACATTGCCTGAAGGTCAGTAAATAAAGATGTTACTATGAAGTTAGCTTAGTTTTCAGCCTAGAGTTCAAAATAAAAAATAATCATTTGTGCACATAAAGTAAGTGTTCTCTCAAAACTCTAGTGTGAGTTTAGTAGAACAATTAAACATTATTATTTAAAATTTATACTAAAAAGATTTTTGCTTTGTGAAACTATACTAAATAGCAATGGGCATTTGAAATTCACAAGCTAATAAGTAACTTTAAAGAGAAAAACTTAAGAGAGACATTTTTCTAGAGCAATCTAATGGATAGATCATTCCTAAATAAACTATAATCTTTTCTTCATTGTTATTACAAAAAATATAAACAAGAACGCCACTTGGTGTTGCTACAACTGATACAAAATATACTACATTTTTATAATCAGGGGAGTGTTAATAGGGACTGAACTCAGGATAAGCAGTCTACCACTTAAATCATATTCCTAGTCTTTTTGCTTTTAGTTTTTTAGATTGCGTCTCAGTTTTTGCCTGGGCCAGTCTCAGACTGCAATCTTCCTATCTACTTCCTGAGTAGCTGGGATTATAGGACTGTACCTCTACACCCAGCTTGTTTCTCAGTTAGGGTCTTGCTAACTTTCTGCCATGGCTAGCCTCAAACCAGGATTTGCCACCCGAGAAAGGGGGATTATAGGAACACCATTATTGCCTGACTAATATACCATTTTTATGCATGTTTACATTATCACTATTACTATTCCTGTTTTTCAGTTGAGGCAGCTCAGAACAATTACTGATTAACATTACACAGTTAAGTACCAGCAGTCCAATATAGATTTGATCCCGAAGTCTGTATTTTTTCTATTTATCAGCCCCTCAAACTTATATTTATTTTAAAACAAAGTTTGAATGAAACCTTTTATTTCCAAGACATTCACCTATGAAAGAACACTGAAATGACCAAAGGCATGAAACTGCAGAGAAAGAAATGTACATTATTTTACTCTATTCTACTGAATAAGCTGACTCTCACTCTTTCCAGAAATATTATTAAGTAAACTAATCTTAATAAATTAAATATGATCCCATATTCAATCAAAGCTGGGTAACATGCTTGAAGGTAATTAGTAATAAGAGTACAACTGTCATTCTAATGTGAAACAGAGCTGTCAGAAATTCTTTTAAATACTTGGACATGCACTCATGTAGCATTTTCACATACATTTACTACACACAACTGTGTACAGCAGCCAAACACTGCTCTAGGGACTGGGGAATACAGCAGTGAATTTTAACAAATTCTACACAAGAGGACATACATGGAAGACACCTCTAAAAAGGTTATGTTTTGAACTGGAGACTCAAATGATGTGAGGCATGCAAAACTTAAGGGAAAAAAACAAGAGAAAGAATATTAGAAAAAGAGGGAAGAGAACTGGAGGTCAGGTTCAACAGGTAAGAGTGCCAGCATGATTGTAAAAGCTGAGGGAGAATGCAAGGCCTTGCATTTAAGTCCCAGTATCAGCATAAAAAAAGAGAAGAGATGAGAAGGGGAAAGGAAGGGAGGGAAGAGAAATGGAAGAGAAAATGAGAAGAAAAAATGAAAAAAGAGAAAAGGAGAGAAAGAAAAGAAAAAAGGAGGGAACTAATTACTATAAGCCTTGAAGGGGAAAACAAATTGGTATGTCTGAGGAACAGCAGGAAGGCTAATTCTGGCCTTGGGAGAGGAAGACAGGCAGGGAGAGGTAGCTGAGGAGAGGGAGGAGGAGATGAAAGGAGAGGAGAAGGAGGGAGAATAACCACCATTTATATCTGGTAAGGAATCTAGATTTTTTTCTGAATGTGAGAAGAAGCCCGATTTAAAAAAAATTTTTTTATTGTGATTGATTACATACATTTCAAAAATTTCATAGTATTGTGAGATAGTGATACTTAAAGTCACAAACACATTCTAACCTTCATGAGGCAAATTGTCATTAGCCCTGATTTAAACAACAAAAAAAAGGTACTCTGGCAGCAGAGCTCTGAGAGCAGGGAACAAAGTACAGACAGATTAGTTAGGAGGCTATTGCACTAGCCCCAGCAGGAGAAGAGCAGTATCCATAGAAAGAAAATCACTTAAATTGTAACACTGAAATAATCACTAAGGAAGTAAGGAATACAGAAGAATAAAAGGATAAGGGCTAAGCCCCCAAAAAATCCAATTTTCAGCAGTTTGGAAAAGGGAAAACATTTTCATTGAATCAGCATATCTGAAATGTATTCTTTATTTAGGCATACCTAATTCCTTTTCCTAAGCATTAGTGAAAGCAGGTAAGCAATTTTGAGTATGTTTCTAAAAAGTCATATTTTTGATCACACAGAAAATAAGAAACATGAGAAATGGTTAAAATGAAGGATTTATGGTTAAATATAGCAGAGCTTCTCTGATAGATAAGAAAATATTGCTAACTTCAACTTTATGTCAATAATTTCTAAAAACTAAACCACTTTAGCCAGATGCTGGTGGCTCACACCTGTAATTCTAGCTACTCAGGAGGCTGAGATCTGAGAATCAGGGTTCAAAGCAAGCCCAGGCAGGAAAGTCCATGAGATTCTTACTCCAATAAACTACTCAAGAAAAGCCAGAAGTGGTGCTACGGCTTAAGTGGTGGAGGGCTAGCCTTGAGCAAAAGAAGCTCAGGGATAGTGCCTAGGCCCAGAGTTCAAACCCCAGGACTGGCAAAAATAAAAGCAAACTACATCCCCATACTTGAAGTTCTTAACAAATAAAGAGCTCTAAATCTAGGACCTAAAAATGCATAGAAATCATACAGGATATATTAGTCTTAACAGCTGACTTCTGTTATTACCAGATAGAACTGATATATTATTACAATTATAAAAGCAGTCAGCAAGTAAAACAAGAATAAATTAAAATTTGGGGACTGGGAAATAGGTCAAATTATAGAAAATTTGTCTAGAAAGCTTGAGTTTAATTCCTAGTACTGGAAAAAAAAAAACCCTAAAACAAAAATCACCAACAAGTAATTAACATAATATTGTGTTTTGTGATATCCTGTCTTGATTAGTTTGTTAAGTTTGGGTTAGCAGAACAAAAAACATTTAATAAATGTATAGCTGATATCCAGCTATACTTCAATAGTCTAAAAAACATTCTCATCCAGTTTTTGTTGTTTTTTTCCTCCACTTCCGTAAAAAAAACTTTTGGCTGTAATGGTCAAACAACTTCTTTGTAAGCTGGGCTATTTCTTGCTATTGTGAGGTTCCTGAGAACCCAGAAATCTGGCTAGGTTCCCTATTTTGGCTGGCTTGTCAAACCAAGCTTCTACAGGTGTATACTAATCTTTGTATTTTAGTCATAGCTATTCAAACACATGAAAAAGCTTAAGACATATTAGTCCTCTCAATGACTCACATTGTAATTCTCCCCAGCATTTTATCAAATCAAAGATTGTTTGAAGTAGGAATATTAGAAATCCTACTCCCCCCAAAAAAGAGTACCTCCATGGTGATGTGACAGGCTCCCTCCATTCGCAAGGATTTCTTCTCTAGCAGCTGCCTGGATTTGGAAACAACAGAGTGTTGCCACTTAGATTTCACTTGGGAGAGAAACAGTAAGACCCAACTCTCAAATGAGGTGCATACTTACTAGGTTAAACAATAATCAAGCAGCCTCACTTCCCTCCCACTTTGTAAAAAAAAATTAAAGCAATTAAAATATGAAACCTAGTTTTGTATTTTTTTCCCCTAGTAAACAGTCACAGTATCTACAAAGATTCTAGGGACGGGGGAAAAAGGCAAAATAATTAACTCAGCAGGACTAAACTGTTAAATAGTAATAAAAAAAAAGTGTGGGGTTTTATGTTTATTAAAGTCATATCAAGAGGCATTAATAACCAACATGGACTATTTCCTGTTTGTCTCAGGAAACATCAAGAAATTTGCCCATACTATTTCATTTATTTTCATGATAACTTCATGGAATAATTATAATTACTCCATCTCACAGGAACTATTATTATATTGGAGGCATGACAGTTAAGATTACCCACAAAATATTAGGGATCAACGAGAAAAACCTTTATGGAGCTGGGTGCTGGTTGTTGACATCTGTAATTCTAGCTACACACGGGAGGCCTAGATCAGGAAGAAACAGTTCTTGATCAGTCCAGGTGGAAAAGTCCATGAGACTCCATTTGAATGGAAGAAGCTGGTGGCAATCCAGCTATGGTAGTAAGCAAAAAAACAGGAAGATGTTGGAAGAAATAATCCTATCTAAAAAATAACCAGTACATAAAAAGTGGTAGAGGGGCTGGGAAGATGGCTCAGTGACAGAGTGCTTGTCTTGCATGCATGAGGCCCTGGGTTCAATTCCTCAGCACCATATAAGCAGAAAAAGCCAGAAGTGGTGCTGTGGCTTAAATGGTAGGGCGCTAGCCCTGAGTTGAAGAGCTGAAGGACAGTGCCCAGGCCCAGAGTTCAGGCCCCATGACTGACCAAAAAAAAAAAAAGTGGTAGAACAACTAGTTAGCAAGTGTGAGGCCCTGAGTTCAAATCTCATCTTTACAGAGAACATTTATTTGGCCAAGGATATTGACAAATTACTTGGCAGTTCTGTAATAATCAAATATATGTATGTGTTAATTCTTTAAATGTGTTAGGTAAAAAATAGGCCAGACACTTGTGGCTGATGCTTTTACTCCTAGCTACTTCAGGGGAGAGACTGGTAAGACAGTGGTTGGAGGCCAGCCTGGGAAAGTTCAAGAGACCTCAGCTCAACCAACACTGGGCACAGTGGTAGACACCTGTCATTCTAACTATGTAAGAGGCTGACAGTGGTAGACACCTGTCATTCCAGCTATATAAGAGGCTGACAGTGGTAGACACCTGTCATTCTAACTATACAAGAGGCTGACAGGTGACAGTGGTAGACACCTGTCATTCTGGCTGACAGTGGTAGACACCTGTCATTCTAACTATGTAAGAGGCTGACAGTGGTAGACACCTATCATTCCAGCTATACATGAGGCTGAGAGTAGGAAGATCATGCTTCCAGGCCACTCTAGGAAAAAACAAAAGTGACCCCTCATCTTCATAGAAAAGGTTGGGCATAGTTGCTTGTACCTGTCACCCCAGCTACAGTAGGAAGCATACATAGGAGAACTGTGGTCCAGGACAGCTTGAGCAAAAAGTGAGATTATCTCAAAAATAATCAGAACAAAGAGGGCTGAAGAGATAGCTCAAGAAACAGGGTACCTACTTGACAAGCACAAAGTTTTAGGTTCAAATTCCAACACAGGACAGGACAGGAAAGGAAAGGAAAGAGGGAAGAGGGAAAAGAGAAAAGGGAAAAGGGAAAAGGGAAGGGAAGGGGAGGGGAGGGGACAGGGGAAAGGGGAAGGGGAAGCGGAAAGGGGAAAGAGGAAAGGGGAAAGGGGAAAGGGGAGGGGAAGGGAACGAAGGGAAGGGAGAAAGGGAGGAGAGAAAAGGAGAAAGGAAGAGGAGAGAAAGGAAGAGGAAAGAAGGAAGGAAGGAAGGTAGGAAGGAAGGAAGGGAGGGAGGGAAAAAAAGAAAGAAAGAGAGAGAAAGAGAGGGAGAGAGAGGGAAGGAAGGAGGAAAGAAAGAAGAAATAGAGAGAGAAAAGAACCACATACATTTTTAAGAAAATAATAGAGATGCAGAGTAAGAAAGAATAATAGAAACTGGGCTCATCTCCTAATCTTAATGATTCATGAGTACACAATAATCATGAGGTGAAATGCCTACTGTGACTCGAATTTCTCAGAATTACTTAAGTGCATTTAAACTATCAGGAGGTAGGTCAAGGTAGAAATAGCCTGAAGTAGGAAAGTGGGATCGTATCCCATTACAAAGTTATTATAGACTCTGAAATAAGAGTTAAAAGTTTTCCGAATGCTAACCTTTTTTCTAAGAATTTACTGTTTCAAACAAATTCCTGCAAATAAAGTAGCTTCTTAAGATCAGTACCACGAAGCAAATGGCATTTTGGACTAGGAAAAAGAACAAATGTCACTTGGGGTCACTGCACAAAAGGGATTTTTGATAACCAGGCTAAAGGATGAGAATGCACTGAAACTTGAGAGTTATGGATACATTCAGTATTTTGATTTTAGTATGATTTCATGGATACAAACATGTTAAAACTCATCAGGCTGTATACTTTAAGTATATATCACTTAATACATTTCAGCTATATGTCAAAAAAAGCTGGGAAAAAATAAAGGGGGGAGGTGGGGAAATAACCGAGGACTGAGAGACAACCAATCTATCCATGACAGTCTGGATCTAGAAGTATGTTGTGGCACTGGAATTATTTTTTAGTGCTATCTTTGGCAAGCACAAACTTAAAACATTAGGGCAATAAAAAAGAAAGAAAGAAAGCTGTTTGCCACACATCTCTCCATAGTTGAATAGAGAGCTTTATAATTACCTATGAGAGATATACTGGTCATCAACAGCTATATAAAAATTAGCATCTTAAAGTCATTTAAGAACTGTAACAAAACCTGCTAGCAAATGAGTCCCCATGGCTTACATAAGCATTAGCATACAAAAACACTGAAAATGTAGAATGATGACATTACAGCATAGACCAAAAGGACAAGAGCTGCTGACCTCAACCTGCAGTCATTTACTGGAGATGGGTCAATAGCCAGTCATATCAGATCCCTATAGTCATAGAATTCCTACTGTTATTTAATTTAATATCATGCATTGTAGCACCCAGAGAATCACAAGCTATTGGTCTCAATTCTCTATATCATATAGTACATTCGTTTTCTGTGGCAAACAGGCCAGGTAGAACACAGGTAGTTTTAAAAAAACAAGCAAATTCATAGTTACTAGAATTAGTTGAGTGAAGCTATATGCACAATTACCTCCGTTTGTTCAAACACCGTCAGTGGGTCACTAATTCCTCTGTAGTTAAAGGCAAAATAGAAGTAGATACATGCACCTGCATCATATGTCTGTGTTACCCTAAAAAACAGACAAAATGTCCACAAGGACTTTAAGTGAAAACAGATTTAAAATCCTAAAACTAAAAGACAAGATTCCTGAATTCACTTAAATATAAACTCCTCTATTCAACTTCCAAATCCAAAGAAGGGAAACAGATTGGCTCTCTTTACCGCTGTTGGCAGGACACATGAACTAAGACTACTGCGAAAAACAAAGTATTTTATCATTAAGTGAGTTTAGTCAATACTATTAGTACACACTAAGACTTCTGTTTGCACCATATTACTACAATTTCTACTAGGAAATATAACAAAAATTTTAGCATCCTTATAGAATGCCTTTCAGCAATCATGTTATCTAGAAGTAATAGGCAAATAAGTAGCAAATCTGAAAACACTTAAAATACAGTCAGACAAGTACTGGTTTAAAATGCATAATCAAAATAACAAATAACAGTTAACAAAAACATTCTTAAAAGTTAACATATCTTGACAAAAAAGAAACAATTTCACTTTTTCCTCTTTACTGTATTTAACTAATTTTATGCCCAACTAGTTGCTCATGTATTTTGTGTAGAATTGAGTTGCAGATATATTTCAAATGACAAAGCTCCATTATTTTTCAAAAGCATGTTTAGAAAATGAAAGACCCCATTGAATAAAATAAAGACAAAGCAATAACAACTTCATCAATTTAAACCAGCCTGGATTATGAAGGACTATATAGATAGAAAATGCTAAAGTAATTAAATCATGAGTGATTTTATAAATATTAAGAAAATCTGGGGGGGAAGTGGCGCTGTAGCTCAAGTGGTAGAGCGCTCGCCTTGAGTTGAAGAGCTGAGGGACAGCGCCCAAGCACAGAGTTCAAGCCCCACGACCGACAAAAAAAAAAAAAAGTATATAGAACACTCAGAAAATCTGGGGGGTCAGGATGGGAAAGGGGTGTGTGTGTGTGTGTGTGTGTGTGTGTGTGTGTGTGTGTGTGTCTGAGTGGAGACTAACAGGGTGTGTGTGTGTGTGTGTGTGTGTGTGTGTGTGTGTGTGTGTGTGTGTGTGTGTGTGTGTGTGTGTGTGTGTCTGAGTGGAGACTAACAGGGAATGTAGACTATAGTTCTGGTAAGAAAAGTGTTGTATTACTACCATTGGAACTGAAGGTATGGAACTGAAGGTAGAGTGCTAGCTATGAGTAGAAGAGATAAGCAAGAGTATGAGGGCTCTGAGTCCAAGACCCCATACCTGAAGAGAAAGGAAGGCAGGGAGGGGGGGAGAGGAGGAGGTAGGGAGAAGACAAGTGAGAAGGAAAGGGGAGGAGAAGGTAGGAGAGAAGAGGGAAGAGGGAAGGGGAAGAAAGGAGAAGGGCCTCAGGAGGAAGGGGAGAAAAGAGAAGGGGAGGCAAAAGGGGGAAAGAGAGGGAAAGGGAGGAGAGGGAAAGGGGAGGAGAGAAGAAACTGAAAGGAAAAAAGATAAAGGAAGGAGGGAGGGAAGGGAGAAGAGGCCTTATTATTGAGGTAATTATTGAGGATAAGTCAACTAAAGAGACAACTGAGCAAACAGACTGAGAACAAAGCAGAGTGAATTAAAAAATCACAATTATGACATCAAGGGTCAGACAAAAGTGCCAAGCACTGGTGGCTCACGCCTATAATTTTAGCTACTCAGGAGGATAAACCAGCCAGGGCAGGAAAGTCCAGGAGACTCTTATCTCTAGAAAACTGGAAGTGGTACTATAAGAGCTCAGAACAGTGCCCAGACCCTGAGTTATAATAAATAAGTAGACAGACAGACAGACAGTTGGATAGGAAAGAGAATTTGAGGGAGAAACCAAATTTAAAAGAGCGATAGTAGGCAATGGTTATCACTGCTGGGATACCACGTGGAGAGATGTATCTTCACTCAGTGCTAACTCTACAACCCAGATCTTTTGTGTCACATAGGTTTGTTTTTTTCATTTTTCCTTGTCTCTCTAGACCTCCTATCTTTTCATATGGCACTCATCCTGCCCTTCCTAGTATAAGCCCTTCCTCCTCAAAAACTAGCTCCTCCTCCTGACACAGAAGCCAACTTAAAGGGATTTCTAATGGCCAAATCTGAAAAATTGCAGCATCCAAGTAAACAATAATAACCATGTGTATAATCCAGTGAAGAAAACACCCATGAACACACACAGACACAGACATGGAGATTTGGAAGTCACTCTTTAAAGTGACTTCCAAATGATAAATGTGAAGAGGGTAATGAAAATATGCACCACCATATGCAAATATCACAATAATAACACAAATAGGCTACATGGCAGAAGGCACAGATACGAAGACTGTGGTTTAAGACTAGCCTGAGCAAAAGCTAGTGAGATCCTATCTCAAAAACTTAAGTGGACATGGTGGTTCATGCACATAAGCCTAGGCAGGAGGCAAAAGGAGGAGGATCATAGCAGGAGACTAGTCCTGAAGCACAAAGTATAAAACTTTATCTGAAAATCAAACTAAAGCAAAAAGGCATAGAGATAGGGCTCTAGGACTATAGCAACTGCCTAGCAAGCACAAGATCCTGAGTTCAAGCCCCAGTACCATCAAAAACAACTTATGATTAGGAATCACTTTGGGAGATTGGTGATTAGGAGACAACAAAATATCTGAAATCTCTAAGTTTATTCCCATAAAATATATATTAAACAAAACAGGCAAAACAGTCATTCTGGATGGTGAAACTAAGCAGGCATCACCTTAATGAAGTGATTGAAGTTTATATAGCCAATAATAAAACATGTCAACATCATGCTCTTCTTGACATGATGTACTAAGGAGAGTCCTTGGCTTCTGTGGTATTCCTGTCAATATATACAGCATGTGTTCCATCCCAAGGAAAGTGAGGGACATTTGTAAAATAACTGGTCAATATTTTTAAATCTGTAATGGTTATGGGAAATAAAGGAAGAGTCAAGAGTTGTTCTATATTCAAGATTACTGAAGAGAAATGAAAACTAAACTATAATAATGGATTAAATCCTGAATTAGAAAAAGTCATTAGTAAGAGAAATGGTAAAGAGAGATTTGTAGGTTAATTAACAGTGTTAGCACTGACTTTTCTATTTTCTTATTTAGTTTTTATTGTGAAAATACTGTACAGAGGGACTACAATTACATGGGCAAGATAATGAATACATTTCTTATCAAGCATTGTAGCCTCCTCCTTTGTTTCCCTTCCCATCCCTTCCCATACTCCCCCTAGCCCCCCGATTTTTTTTTTTTTAGTTTCAATTGTAATTGAGATATTAACATTTGGGAAAATAGTGAGCAGTATATGGAAACCGTGTATTATTTTTGTAACTTTTTTGTGAGTCTAAATTATTATCTGCTACTCCAACAAATAAAAATTTAAAAAACAACATAAATCCTTCTCCAGTGGGCCTGAAATGAGCAAAAGTTGCATGTCTACTAAAGAAATTTTTAAATACTGCATTGTCATCATTATCAGAGCAGCAGCAGCAAGTACACTATCATTAAAAATATTTCCCTGGGTTATCAGCTACAAGTTTTCCAAGCTTCCTTGAAATTAATGGAAATAAATATGGCCAAAAATAAGAAAAAATGTTCAAACAGCAAACAGAATCAGAAAAGATGAACTATTATCTCTTCATCAAGTTCACCTTAATAATAAGGAAGAACTTGGAAAACAAATTAAATGATCATATTAAATGCAGCAACATGACCTTAATAGTATCTATGGCTCTATGTATATATGGAGATCATATATACTGTGTGTGTGTGTATGTATAACTAGAATGTTAAATTATTAAGTCATATATGAAAAGTATGTGGGCTTTCAAAAGCTAATTGGAAAGCACTTAAAAGAGAGCTCAGATAAACAGTAAAATTCTCCAAATGTAATCTACAGAGGTTCCCACAAAGAATTTAATTTAAACAGAAGGAGCCAATACATAGGAAATACTCTTTTTACTACACAATACAAACAGAATCCAATCTAAAATTTTAATAGCCTTTTAGGCCAAATGTTAGGTGCCTCAGAACAGAAGAAATGAACTGTTTAACAATGCTACTGTCAATTTGCCAGATGTTTTTTTTCTCTCTCTAGTGTTAGCTCTCTCATAAAAAAAAATTCCTGAACTTTTGTACTTTGAGATCCAGATTTACAAGGTTTAAGAAAAACTGGAAGCCGGGTGCCGGTGGCTCACGCCTGTAATCCTAGCTACTCAGGAGGCTGAGATCTGAGGATCCCGGTTCAAAGCCAGCCTGGGCAGGAAAGTCCGTGAAACACTTATCTCCAATAAACACTCAATAAACCGGAAGTGGCGCTGTAGCTCAAGTGGTAGAGCGCTTGCCTTGAGCTGAAGAGCTAAGGGACAGTGCTTGGGCCCAGAGTTAAAGCCGCACGACCGACAAAAAGAAAAAAAAAATTTAGCTATAAGGGCACTATCATTAGACTAAATAAATTCAAATAAAAACTGAAAGATGAATAAAATGAGTAAAATATACATCACTCAGGATCATTAATATTCATATACAGAAAATTGAACTGAATATTTATTGGGCATTGCCACTTTTCAACAACAAATCTTACGTCTGTATGTTAATCAGTTCTCACAGATAAGTAAACTAAAGTGCACACAAACATAATGGGCCTCCTGGATCAGTAATTCAAACCATGCTTAAATATTTAAAAAAACTTTTGGAAAATCTCCATGTGGGTCCATTTCAGAAAGTAACTCAGATTTAATACCTTTAAGAAATACATAAATTCTATCATTTAAGTTAATCTCTTCCAAACAAGTTAATGCAGTCATCTAGTCATTACATAAATTAAATTTCTTTTTATAGTACATTCCTTCTGAGCTCACTAACAGTTCATTCCCATACTATTTCTTCAGAAAGTTGAGTTAAAATGGCTATCCTAATATACAAAGTACCTATTAATGGATAAAAATGACTCCTTGGCAATAAAACTAAATTAAAATCAAACTCCAGGTAAATGATAATTTAACTGAGTATGGCCTATATGTTTGTTCCTACCGGTCCGGGGTGCTGTCCCTGAGCTTCTTTGTGCTCAAGGCTAGCTCTCTATCACTTGAACCACAGCACCACTTCTAGATTTCCTGAGTAGTTTATTAGACATAGGAGTCAGGAGTCTCACATGCTTACCTGCCCGAGCTAGCTTTGAACTCGCCTCCTGAATAGCTAGAATTACAGGCATGAGCCACTGGCACTTTGCTCAAAATGTATTTTTACAAGCTTTTCAAACAATTGAACTTTGGGCATTCTAATCTGGTTTTATACAAAAGTCATTCTTATAAAAAATAATCACTTCTAAATATACCTCCACTTCTGGCCATATTTGGGATGAAAGGGGAAGTTTGTATGCCCAGGCTGGCTTCAGCCTCCTAAGTAGCTAGGATTACAGGTGTGTGCCACTTGTTCTCAGCTTTACAACACAAATTATGAAAAGTTACAGCCAGCTGTGGGTGGTTTATGCCTATAAACCCTAGCTACTTAGGAGTCTGAGATATGGGGATCATAGTTTAAAGCTATCCAAGACTCTTCTTCAATTAACAGCCAAAAAAGCAAGAAAGGAAGCTGTGGCTCAAGTGGTACAGCACCAGCCTTAAGCAAAAAAGATCAGGTATAGCACTCAGGCCCTGAGTTCAAGCCCCAGAACCGGCCCACACTCACACAAAAAAATTGATAGGAACGGGGCTGGGAAGGTGGCTCAGTGGTAGAGCGCTTGCCTTGCATGCCTGAGGCCCTGGGTTCAATTCCCCAGCACCACATAAGCAAAAAGAAAAAAAAGCCGGAAGTTGCGCTGTGGCTCAAGTGGTTGAGCGCTAGCCTTGAGCTGAAGAGCTGAGGGACAGCGCCCAGGCCCAGAGTTCAGGCCCCAGGACCGGACCCCCCCACCCCCCAAAAAAAAATTGATAGGAAGTTGTTATAATAAGGTTGGTGGGCAAATCCTCATTCCTGTGCTGGAATAGGACTAGGTAGGCTTCCTGGGTTGAGATTAAATAATGCCAGATAAATCAGAGGAATAAACATTATAAATAAAAATATAGAAACTCCTTGACTTCATGAATGCAGTTATGCCTCTTTAAGCCCATTTATAATATGTAAATACTATAAATTCAAAATGCATCCAGCATATGTAACATACTAAACACCATAGCTTAGCCAAGCACATACTTGTAACAGTTACATTACACTAGCCTGTGGCTGGACAAAGTCATGTAACACAGGCTATGTTATAGCAAAGTGTTGAATACCTCATGTGATTAATTGAATGCTATCCTGAAAGTGAAAAGTTGATTGGCTATATAGGAGGTATATATTTGGACTATTATAATGTATAGCAATCCCAAGTCAAATCATCATAAACCAGGGCCAAGTTCTTATACAGAAAATGCTATTGAACAGAAACATACTTAAACCACACCTACACACATAAAAGGGGAAAAAGTAAGGTAGTTATACAATTTTACAGAATCCTAGATTACAAATGGTATCATTTATTTGAAGGTTCTCATTTTCATGATCTGTTCTGATTTCCATTTATTCTCTATCCAGTTAATTTTATAACTTTCTAGAGTAATCAAATGTTCAATTCAGTCTTGAGACATTAATCTCCTGGGGTTTACACAGCCTTTGTATTCAGTCAAAAGACTAAATACAAAAGTGTCCCTTCTCATAAAAGCTTACTTTAGAGTTGTTATTATTTAACAAAGAAGGGATCATCAGATAACCACACACTGCCCAATATGGAAGATATTAGCAGTCACATGTAGTGTTTTAAATTTAATTTTTTTAATTTTTATTTATTTTTTATTGTGAAAATACTGTACAGAGGGGTTACAATTACATGGGCAAGATAATGAGTACAATTCTTATCAAGCATTGTAGCCTCCTCCTTTGTTAAATTTAATTTTTTAATTAACTAAAAAAAATTAAATTTAAAATTCAGTTCTAGTTACACTAACAATGTCTCAATCTTTCCATGTGATTAACAAACTGGATACAGAAAATATTTCTGAAGAAATATCCAGGCTGGGTATAGTGGCTCATGCCTGTAATCCTAACTACTTGGGAGGTAGAGATCTGGAGGATCAAAGCTTGATGCCAGCCTAGGCAACAAGGTTCACACATTGTTTCTAATGAACCAATTTCAACCAATGAAAAGCTGGTCATGGTGGAGGATTCTCAGCTACACTGAAAGCTTAAGTAGGAAGCCAGCAGTTTAGACATGCATAGACATAAATTCAATACCATATATTAAATATAATGAAAGCAAAAAGGGATGGAGACATGGCTCAAGTGGTAGAGTACCTGGTAACTAGGACAAGGACCTGAGTTCAAACTCCAGTACAGAAAAAAAAAAAAAGAATTACTAGAAAGCATCAAGTTAATACTCATTTGGATCTCCTGTTCCTTTCATGCCTTTATTCCACTAATAGTCAATTAATCAGCAATCAAAATGGTTAAGATATTTTTCCTATGATGAAAATAGGGCCAAGACTACACTGACTATGTATATAATGTATAGTTTCTTGATCCTACACATGGTTTATAGCATTAGTAAATAAAAGTCTTCTTTTTCCAGGAGCTGAGACACTTGGCTCTTCACTACCAGGCTGTTCCATGGTAGAATCATGAATGATATCCTGCTTCTGAAGAGCTCAGAACTATGTTAAATCCTGGGGGCACTGTATTATGTTATTGATGTATTACATGTATTACATTTATTGATTCATATACAGTGACTTGACCTTCTATGCTAAATGAGTAAATATCTTGGAGAAACTCCTTTGAACAATTAGCACACACTTAAAAAATATCAGGAATGGAAAATTGGTCTTGTTCAGGGTGTAGATAATAGTGAGAGAGAGATGTAAGGGTAAACAGAGAGGGTGAAGGAGAGAAAATATGGTCATAATATTTCATGTACACAAGTGAAAATAGAATACTCATGCTTATTAAAATCGGTGTGGGAAGTAGGATGGTGAGATGGAAAGTGATAGACTGAGCTTGATCAAGGTACATTGATGCATGGACCTATGAAAATAAAACCTCCTTGTACAACTAACTGATGCTAATTTTTTTTTAATGAGAAAATCCTGACAAGATGACAAAGAAAGCTCAGGGAAGGTTACTAATTGAAATAGACTAAAATTTCTCCTTAGCTGGCAAAACTGTATTTCTCTACTAATTTGAAACAGGTTTTTTTTTGTTTTTGTTTTTGAATAAGGAGTAGGTAAATAATAAGAAAACTTACCTGCATGTAGAAAGAGGTGGAAACTGAACACCTTTCTCTTTGCATTCCCTTCTTATTCTTTCTTTTACATTTCTACAAAGATCTACAACTCTGGAAAAAAATTAAAATAATATTGTTTTCAAATAAAAACAATACAAATTCTGTTAAGTACTAGTTTTCATGATACCCTGCAAGACCAATATGTTCTTAACTAAATCTCTTATTCTTACAAAAATGAACAGGAATCATTCAAATTGACCCTTGACCCTCTGATCATAATTTCAAAGAGAACAGAATTGTTCCTTTTTTTTGCTTTGTTTTTTGTTATAGGAAAAAGGCATGTCAGAACATATTCAAATCTCTTGTAGTTTCCTACATTAGGAGAGTTCAATTTCAAAATAAATTTAAATACAAGAGCTTTAAAGAACATGTTAGTGAGGAACTGATATATCTTAATACAATAAAAATAAGGACATAACATGCAAATGTGGAACATGTTAACCAAAATTCAAATCTGGATTATAAGAATACCAATCTTTATCCATGCCTAAGAAGTTCACCTTGATTTAAAAATAATTCAATCAATAATAATGGTTTTATATTAAACATTCAAAAGCCTATTCTTAAATTAACATCTAATATGACATTTATTTTATACAAACTACATGTAAAATGTTAATGTATTATGATATACTGATATTAAATTGTGAAGCAAGGAGTACACCTGTAATCCCAGCACTTGGGAAGATTTCAAGTTTAAGGCCAATGTGGACTATACAATGAGTTCAAGGTCAGCCTGGGCTACATAGTGAAACTTTGACTCAAAAAGAAATGATGGAAGACCGAGAAAGAGAGACAGAAAGAAGAGGAAGAGAAAAACAATGAAAAGAGAAGAATAGTTAATAATTCTTAAAGGTGATGTGGAGTTGATAATATTTAACTATTTTTAAATTCATCTCATCTATTAGACACACTCTAACATATTGCTATAACTAATATTTTACTACATTTAAATCCAGTAAGATCTTAAATATACACACAATGATATCATTAGCTAAGTGCTATATTACAAAACAATGTTTACTTGTTTTATAACCTTGGAGAACTTTTATTGACTAAGTATTTAAGCACAGTAATCTTGAAACAATTTAAACAAAGCCAAGTAAAACTACACAGTAACATTTAGTGTCTAGTAAAATTTTTCAAAACATAAAACTTCAAGAGTACCTTCTTTGTTTGGCTTACAGACAGATAAATTTGCCTCAAATAAAAAAGGGGGGGGGGGCTTGCAAACATGGCATCCTTCTGAGGATATTAAGTTAAAGACAAGTAGCTACTTTGTTTTAATGTTTCTTCATCAAATTCCAAGCTTATGTATTCACAGAGAAATACATTACATGCACCCATACATTTAGCAACTCAGAAAGCATAGTTAAATGAAGTATTTTATTAGATTTTACCTGTCCCAAGGAGCAGAAGTCTCAAAAGACTCTCCTACTACGTAATATTCCAAACCCAAGTCCTGTTAAGACACAAAAAACACAAAAGCACAACAAATACAATAATCAATAATACTGTCAGCATTTCAAGACACTTAATATAACATATTTCTAATCTAACCTCAAGTGTTCAGAAGAACACTGGAAACTTCTGAGTGGTATATTACCTCTCTAAGTACAGAAGCTTTGTCTGAGTTGTTCTCTTTGGCAACATACACAGCTCTATAAACAGAATCTCTATCTAGTCAAAGTCTTAGGTATATATTAAGAGGACTAAAGAATAGATTTTCAGAGGCCTAAATAGCAAAATAAAATTAAAAATTGGGCACCAACATGAAAGGAAGAGGAAGTAAAAATGTTGGAGAGATCTTTGTTTTGCCTCATATACTTTAAGAACAAATTTAGAAAATAATAGTGCCTCTTTTTGAAGTGACAATACATAGAGCATTTGAAACTACTTCTGCTACGAAAATGTAGCATACAAAATATAATAATTAACTTGTAATACTCAATTTATTTAGCCAAATTAAAGTTGTTCTATTACCAGAGCAGGAAAGATTCATAAACTGCTATAGATATACAAGTATTTTCTTTTTTCTTTTTTTTTTTGGTTGTGGGGCTTGAACTCTGGGCCTGAGCGCTGTCCCTCAGCTCTTCAGCTGAAGGCGAGCGCTCTACCACTTGAGCTACAGCGCCACTTCCGGTTTTCTAGTGGTTTATTGGAGATAAGAGTTTCACGGACTTTCCTGCCCAGGCTGGCTTTGAACCGCAATCCTCAGATCTCAGCCTCCTGAGTAGCTAGGATTACGATATACAAGTATTTTAAAGGAAATTTATCAGAGACAAAAATTTATATATGTGTTTTCATTTCCAGTAAGATGAATCATTTCAACTCCATTAATGGTAAACAATGAAAATCTCTAGATTATTGTTCTTTTCTCTTATGCATTCATTTGTTCAGTAAACAAATACCTGTGACAATGGCATATACATCAGAAGAAAAAAAATATATATATATTGTTGGTTGTGGGCCTGACCTCTGGGCCTGGGCACTGTCCCTCAACACTTTAGCTCAAGGCTAGCACTCTACCACTTGATCCACAGAGCCACTTCTGGCCTTTTCTGCTTATGTGGTGCTAAGGAATCAAACCCAGGGCCTCACGCATGCAGCAAGGCAAGCACTCTACCACTAAGCCACCTTCCCAGCCCCTCAGAAAAATATTTTAAGGATAAAACAAATCTAGGGTAAAAAAAAAACCCTCCATCATAGTTTTGTCCCTTCTTCAATCTTAACTAGAACCTTAAAACTAAGACACTCCAAATTGTGTCTATGCTATATATGTTAGTTATATTTTATTTTCTAGAATTCTGAACTCAGTAAAATTCCTTAAAAATATTCTTCTTCAACATTTTAAAGCTACTTAGAGAAAATTAAGAAGGAGCAAATTCTCAGTAGGCTATCTGAAAAATGAAATCTCAAGTTGGGAGGAAAAGGTAGGATCATTATCCAGGTCTGACCCTGACAAAAACATGAAATATTTGGAGTGGGTGGAAACCACAAAAAACACTAAAAACAATAGGATGAGGAATGTTGCTCAAGTGTTAAGAGTGTTTACCTAGCAAGCATAAGGCCCTTAGTTCAAGATCCAGTATTAGAAGAGAAAAAAGAAACAAACAAAAATCAGAATTTAAAGGCAAAACTTTAAAGCTTAAAGAATCTTTAAAACAGATTAACTTACTCGAATATATGCAATGACATAGGTCAGCAGATAACCTCTTTGCCCATTATCTTCTCCAGCTGCCAGTCCACTATAATTTAAGAACAAATTTATTTTAAATGTATCACTAAACTACCAAATTGATATCCAACTATTTCACACATTAACATGTATTACATCTCATTTTTATCCTAATTTCATTTATCAAAAATATATCAAGGAGGGGGGGGAGAATTGTGTGGAGGAGCCGGGAGAGGCTGGGAAGGTATGTGAAGGGTAATAAAAGGAGGAGGCTGCAATGCTTGATAAGAAATGTACTCATTATCTTGCCCATGTAATTGTAACCCCTCTGTACAGTATGTTCACAAAAAATAAAAATAAAAAAGAGAAAAATAAATAAAAAATATATCAAGGAGCTATCAAGAGAATAAGATTGGGTAGCAAAAAGCTGAAAATACGTTTTATATTTCAATCTAGTCATTAAGTTAAAAATTCTAGCAGGGCGATGGTGGTTCCCGCCTATAATCCTAGCTACTCAGAAGGCTGAGATCTGAGGATCATGGTTCAAAGCCAGTCTGGGTAGGAAAGTCTGTGAGACTCTTATCTCCAATAAAAAACCACTAGAAAACCAGAAGTGACACTGTGGCTCAAGCAGTAGAGCACTCGCCTTGCTCTGAAGAGCTGAGGGATGGCACCCAAGCCCAGAGTTCAAGCCCCACCACTGACCAAAAAAAAAAAAAATAGTTAAAAATTCTATCTACCGGGGCTGGGAAGGTGGCTCAGTGGTAGAGCGCTTGCCTTGCATGCATGAGGCCCTGGGTTCGATTCCTCAGCACCACATAAGCAGAAAAAAAAAGCCGGAAGTGGCACTGTGGCTCAAGTGGTAGAGCGCTAGCCTTGAGCTGAAGAGCTGAGGGACAGCGCCCAGGCCCAGAGCTCAGGCCCCACGACTGGACCAAAAAAAAAAAAAAAAAAAAAAAAAATTCTATCTACCAAGCTAGTAATACTCAAATGAACTCAACTACTTCGGAGTCAGGCATGAGAAATAATCTTAAAAAAAAAAATCAGAATGACCTTCACTAACATAAAATAATTAAAATATTATTAATTTATTCAGGTAGTTTGAGTATCTTTCGCCTCAAATCCAAGATGCCCCAAACTTCAAAACTTTCTGACCAACATTTCGTCCCAAATAGGAAATTTTATAGTAGGTTTCAAGTGATAGATTAGGGACCAAATAATAGTGTACTAAAAAAATACTGTATAAAATTAACTTCAGGCCATGTGTTTAAGGTGTATACAAGTTAGAGGCATCCAGGAGTGACAGACCTGACCAAAGCAGCTCTGGATTGAAGAATTAACAGAATAAGAAGATTGTTGGTATTAAGGCAAAGTTAAAGAGCAAAGTAGACAGAACTTAGGTCAAGTCATCAAACATAAAGAGACAAAAAACAACCCTAGGTTGATGTGAGGTTGGAGGTAAAGAACCAAACTAAGTCCCCAAACCAAAGGTAAACAAAGGAGAAAATTATTATGACAAATATTTGAAGGAAAATATACAAGCTCATAGCTCAAGGAGACAACACAAAGCTGGACTCTGTAAAAGAGAAAAACAACTCAGACTTAGGAAGTAGAAGCTGTTCACTCTGGAAGTAGAGGGAGAATGAAAAGAGAAAATATGTTAGAGATCTGTGCTTGGAATCTCTTAGAAGGATCATGTAAGGTATGTTCTGTGGTAAAAAGCTGTAAGCATGAACACTTAATAGGCCTGTCTCTACATCAGGATAAGACTACATCTTCTTTCTAGTCCCTGATCAAGCCATCATTTTTTAAAATCATCATCTAATATTTGATATGTAGACAGGGAGTATTACACATTGAGATCTAGTGGTACAAATCATATAGAAATACACATTTTTCTTTAATTCAGAAAAAAAAAACCTTTTAACTACATTCTCATTCTGAAGTCATAAATCCTAAGAGAAGAAAAAGCAATGACATGCTGTAAAAAATTACACACACACACACACACACACACACACACACACACACACACACACACACACACGTTTCCTTGAAAATTTAGCTTGTAGAAGCTCCCTTTTTGAGCTTTCAGAACTATCAATCTAGCCAGAATTTTCTTTTTTTATTTTGTTGGTTGTGCCTGAACTCTGGGCCTGGACGCTCCCTCAGCTCTTCAGCTCACGGCTAGCACTCTACCACTAGAGCCACAGCACCACTTCCGGCCTTTTCTGCTTATGTGGTGCTGAGAAGCGAACCCAGGGCCTCATGCATGTAAGGCAAGCTTTCTACCATTGAGCTACCTTCCCAGCCCCAACCAGAATTATCTTAAGATACAAAAGGTAAAAAACTGCAGAGCTGAGAAATTAAATTCTTCCAAGGTGTCATTTTTGCAGACAATCCAAAAACGTGTGCTCTGATTCAAACTGTTTTAAAGTGAGAATGTCCATCCTCTATTTCCTGCTCTTGGCAGAAATGTCAAACATCAATTTCCAAGTTACTCAAACGTATTTAAAGCTGTTTATAAGGAAGGACTAGAAAGACAAGTCAAAGAACGAGAGACAATCACCTTACATACAAGGGCCATCTGGTGAGCCTAATCACTCTTGTATGAAATTATGTTAAACAACGCAGATGTCTCCTTAAAAATAATAACATACCACCTTAAGTTCTATACTAAATATCAAAATACCTGTTATGATTGCTGACAGGCAATGTTTATCCTGTGTAGATCTTAGAAAGGTGAAAAAACATTACTAACAAACATGAATAAACAACCAAAGTATGACCATTCAGTATTTAGATACTACTGTCTGTTGAATCTTGGGTAGGAGTGAAAGGAAAGGAACAAAACAGGTAACATATAAAAATATTCTAAGCTAAGTCCAAAGGTTCAAATCTACAATCCTAGCTACTCAGGAGGTTGAGAGAGATCTAGAGAACAGCAGTTCAAAACCAGCCTGGGCAGTCAGTCCTTGAAACTCCATCTCTAAAATAACCAGGTTGTAGCTGTTGCTTAAGTGGTAGCGCTCCAGTACAGCAAGCAAAGTCTAGCAAGCCTGAGGACTAGACTTCCAACTCTAGTACCAAGGGAAAAAAATTCTAAACCGGTAGAAGCATTTCTTTAAAAGCAACCAATTTAAACTGAGGAACAGAAGGAAAGAAAAATTATTAATGCCCCAAAGAAAAAATAAAAGACCTAAACCAAAACAACATATAAAAACTTTGGCAGGCCAGGCCACTGGTGGCTCACAACTGTTATCCTAATTTCTCAGGAGGCTGAGATCTGAGGATCACAGTTTGAAGCCAGCCCTGGCAGAGAAGTCCATACAACTCTTATCTCCAATAAACTACTCAGAAAAAGCTGAAAGTGGGCTGGGAAGGTGGCTCAGTGGTAGAGCGCTTGCCTTGCATGCTCAAGGCCCTGGGTTCGATTCCTCAGCACCACATAAGCAAAAAGAAAAAAGCCGGAAGTGGCGCTGTGGCTCAAGTAGTAGAGCACTAGCCTTGAGCTGAAGAGCTGAGGGACAGCGCCCAAGCCCAGAGTTCAGGCCCCACGACTGGACCCAAAAAAAAAAAAAAAAAAAAGCTGGAAGTAGTACGCTCAAGTAGTAAAGTGCTAGCCTTAAGAGAAAAAGCTCAGGGACAGTGTGTAGGCCCAGAGTTCAAGCTGCAGGATTGCTCCCTCCCCCTCCCCCCCAAAATAGCAGAAAAAAATAGCTTTTTCCAAATTATTATACAGATGGAGAAGTGACAATAATAGGTTGGCAGAGTGGGGCTAAAATAACAAAAATACACTGAGCTCAGTAATTAGAACAAAATACTGTCTACAGAAAACTGGGGCCTCTACTAGAAAATAAAAATGTTTCCAGGTATTAAAAAATTCAAAATATCCCCTTTATAATCATCTTGGTTACTCTGAACAGATAATTTTATATCTACATGAAAGAAGTCAAGGTGAAAATACATAAGAAATTAATTACAATGTAACAGCTTATTAGAAGCAACATAACAAATTCCAAATGAATGGTGTTCTGTGAGAAACTGGCATTAACATTTATGAAACAAAACCAATGGAATGGTTCTGGCAAAGACCTAAAGAATAAAATATACTGTTTTACAAGTACCATAGTGATTAGGCATAAATGAAGCAGAAAACAGGCATCAGAGACACATTTGCTAACTGGTAATGATTGCCTAGCTGCTCTGAATTGCAATTATAATTATTGATCACATAAAGTGAGTGAGTGAGTGAGTGTGTGTGTGTGTGTGTGTGTGTGTGTGTGTGTGTGTCTGTCTGTCTGTCTGTCTGTCTCGGGATGGGAGAATGAGGTAAAACCATATAAATTTAATCCTATCAACAGTGATTCAAGTATTAACAGCAAAATGTCCTATTTTGTTTCCCTTTAAGTTCATCTAGAAATTTTTTAATGAAGTTAAATATGTAAATATATAAGGGAAAGTTTTATTTATATATATATATATTTTTTTGGGGGGGTCCTGTCGTGGGGCCTGAACTCTGGGCCTGGGTGCTGTCCCTCGGCCCTTTTTAGCTCAAGGCTAGCACTCTACCACTTGAGCCACAGCGCCACTTCCAGCTTTTCTCTTTTTGCTTATGTGGTACTGAGGAATCGAACCCAGGGCCTCATGCATGCAAGGCAAGCGCTCTACACTCTGAGCCACTTTCCCAGTCCGGGAAAAAGTTTTAAGTTTCAATCCTACATGTATTCAAAAATTTTAAAGTACTTTAGGTTTGTGCTTTAAGTACTCTTAATACTTGAACCATGCTGTCAGCCTTGAGTCTTGAATACTTAAGACTAAAAAAGATGTTTTAACTTAAATTTTTTTTGACTAATTGTAGAAAAAACTCTAATTAAATTATACATGTATTATATATATATATATATATACGTATATATATAAAATTTAAGAAGTAAAAAAATGGTGTATACATAGGCTAAATAAATTCTGGGAAAAAATATATTTCAACACTTGAAACAAAAATGAGATTACTTGAAATTCAAGACATTTAGTTATTAAATAAATCCCTTTAGAATAATTACTTTTAACTAATTTAGCTAAACATCAGTAACTCTCCTAAAAAGATACTAAGAAAGGAAACAATGTAAAAGGTAAAGTGAACTTTATCTTTTACTAAAGAAAACAAAATTCTTCTTGCTATTTTTCAAAATAGTATAAAAATAAAAGTGAACAATTAGTTTCCAATATTCAAAAAAAATAAAAAAGTAAACTAGTAAGTTCAAAATTAGAACCTTTGTCACTCTAAGAACAATATTTTTTATTTTGCTATGTGCAGATCCTAGGGTTTGAACTCAAGGCCTGGCCACTGTCACTGTTCAATTCTGGCATTCTACCACCTGAGTCATAGCGCCACTTCTGATTTTTGGTGATCAATTAAAGATAAGAGTCTCATAGACTTTCCAGCCCAGGCTGTCTTTGAACTATGATCCTCAGATTTTAGCAGCCACCATTAGGATTACAGGCATGAGCCATCAGCACCTCACTAAGCTCAATCAATCCTACCAGTAAAGAGCTAAACTATTTCATATGTGGAAAAAATACATAAGACTGGAACATTCTAAACCATATGCTCATTTGTTTTCTTTTTACAAAAAGGAATGAAAGTAAATATAAAGAACCCATGCTACACACATATACATGTATAATATGTATAAAACAGAAAAGGTAATAAGAAAGGTTAATGTCCAGAAAACTGTTAGTTTATGTACTTAAAAGAGGGAAAATGTACTTCTGATAAATGGCATTTCCACTGTAATTCTCATCCATCAGCCTTATAATCTATCAAAAAGACAGACAGAAACCACCCTATCATTATTCAGTTGGTTATAAATGTGAAATGTTTTCTGTTTCTTTATACCAGCACAAAAACCTAAGTGACAGGAAATGGAGCAGCAATGATTTATCAAATACGATAGATTAAGTACAATTGCCTTTTAAAACACACCAATAGCATGCTTTATTCATACATACTATAACTCAAGAATAACATGAAAATGTTTTTTCTTATTTTACTCTTGTATAAACAACAAATAAAAATAAAATATTAAGTATGTGTATGTATAATTAGACAAGAGAAGTTAATCAATCTAACATCCTACAAATTGTGGCAGTAAAACAATTTTCCACAATAGCAAATTTAAATAAATAGCTACCAAAAGACATACAAGTCTCATAGAGATATGAATCCCTAGTATATTAATAAATGCTTGAGATATTAGCATTCCAGCTTGACTTTCTCTTGATATTATGAACTTAAAACCATACCCAAATTTTGCAGCAATGTCATATACTTGTTTCTCATGTTGAAGAACCTTTTCACGGTCTCCTTCAAACAGTAATGTGGCGACACTTATTTGATTGGGATCAAATCCTTTAAACTAAAAAATAAAATATTATTATAGCTAAGTTTTATCCTATAAAACAGTAAATCAAAATAACTTTTACATTTTTCTTTCTGATCTGGGCTTAAATATACCCATCTCTTAAAAATTGAGCTTTGTTACATTTTGTTAATCAATAAGAATGTTTAGTGTCATTAAATCACATTTAAAGATACAACACTTGCCATGCAAGAGGCCCTGAGTTGGATCCCCAAAAAACAAAAACAAAAAGTAAACACAAACCCACAAAAACTTTATGTGGAAGTATTGCATGTCTAAATCATATTGACATAATGGTATATAAATACAACAGATAACTTATCAGAATTAAAAATGTCAAACCAAGTAAGAGCTACAAAATGAAACAAGTAGCTGGACATAAGGGGAAGAGAATCAACAGAATTCCTATATCCCAGTAGTAACAAGTAATACTTTTAAAAAGATTTTGTATATAAAATTAAGGTAACAAAGATCTGCAAATAAGTAAGTTCAGTAGGAAAAAAAATCTGAAAGATATGTTCCTGAATGCATAAATTATTCTAAGCCTGCCAATATTTTAAGTTAATATATTAGTTTATTCTAATTCAAAAATCCCAATGGACTTTCTAAAATTATGGAAAATGAACAGGTAGTTAATGATGATCAACTATCAAAATTCACAATAATAGGAAAAACCAGACCTACAACAATTAAATCTATTTAAATTTTCAAAAATAAATGACTCATTTAAAATAATTTAAAATATTAAAATGAAACTATTTCTTGGAGATGTACCATACAAACAAATGTCTTAGGCAAGACAAATCAATGTATGAGTAGCAGAAGTCGATAGGGGTGTCGGTAGCTCACACTTACAAACCTAACTATTTGGGATCTGAGATCTGAGGCTCACCATTCAAAACTAGCTTTGTCAGACAAATCCTGGAGACTCTTATCCCCAACTAACAAGCAGAAGGCCAGAACTGAAGCATAGCTCAAATAGCAGAGTGCCAGTCAAAAATGTAAGCTGCTGTGTTCAAGCCCTAGTATAGCCACCAAAAAAAAAAAAAGAGTATCAGGTATTAAAGATGACAGTGCTCATACAGCTGATTAGCATAAGAAAGCAGGAAGTGAAGATCAATTAATATCTTTATCTCACATCATAAAATTAAAACAGAATTAATAACAAAGAAAATTTCAATTTTTACTTAACAAAAGAGGGAGCCAGAAACAAGCAATCCTAATTATATTTCAAAGAAAGGAAGACTTTTCTAAATTTGTGATTAAATAACCACAGGAAAAAATATAAATTTGAAACAAGCACCAAAACAACAACAACAAAAATCCTATTAAAATGGAGGCACTTCACTGGGTGAAGCTATTTACAAAGGGCTTCTAATAATCTCATTGCTCAACAAATTACATTCAAATAATTCACACAAAATTTCATCTGGAATAAAAAGATATATGCTCAGTCTCTCCTTAGTTTCAAGAATCATAAACTAAAACACAATACTATTTTCACTCTAGTAAATTTAAAGCATAATAAACAACAAAAATCCTATGCAATGACAAGGTTATAACAATGCACATTTATTGCTAGTGGTAATATAACCTACTGTAACTCGTTAGGAAAGCAATTTAGTAATCAAAGGTGTTAAAAAAATTTCACATCCAAGTTTTTACTGTAAAAATTAAAATAGGAAATGTTGTCACCATTAGATTGTCCAATACAGTGTTTTTTTTTTAACTGGAAAAGAAAAATTTCTGAAACTGCAAGATGGATGTGATCAAATATTTATTCCAAAATGAAAAATAAAATGTAGACAGCAACACGAAAAAACACTTTTATGCAGCAAGTTCATTTAAGGAGAAGGTAAGAAACAAGATATTAGCATCTAAAATTTTTAGCATTTTATTAAAAAGGCTTACCTTTGTAATATAAAACTTTTTTAGCCCATCTAAAAATGATGTAAAAATAGAGGAAACTTGAGGTTTAAGAGCATGACCTAAAAGAAAAAAAATTATATTTAAATAAAATTATGCTGAAAGAAGATCAAAAAGCTATGTCAACTTACTATTATAAAAATGATACAGGCTTAAATGACTAATGTTTTTAAATGTTTTATATATACTTATAACTAACATCTCTATCTTTTGTCTTCATTTTCTTTCCAATGTCACAACTTTTCATTTATGAAACCCACTGATTTTTGCAAAAAATTATCAAATGCAATCATGATATATAGTTTAGGTTATTGTTCAGTGTAAAACTACTTCATTAATTTTTATTTCATTAAGAACACACAAGTGGGGAGTGGTAAGCAGGAGAAAATGAGGGAGGAGGTAATCGTGTTTTAAAGGAAATGTAGTTACTACACCTTACTTATGTAACTGTAACCCCCTGTTCATCACCTTTAAAATAAAAAAACAAAAAACACCCAAGATGGCTGGTTTAACTTTTATTTTTTTAATATGCAGAAACAACTCAGTTATAATCAGAATTTAATGTTATATCTTAACTCATCCAAAATTCATGGCATAGAATGGGCAATTTCTTTTTTAATCATACATGAATAGTTAAAACTGCAAAAATAAGATAAATGGCATATCAGAATCTGTTAACTACATATTTAGCTTGATTGAAAAACCTTTGCTGTTTTCTCTTTTTAAAGAGTAGCAACTTCCCAATTCTTATGACCCTCATTTAAGAGTTATACATCTAGCTTTAATGCTATGAGCTCAATGCAGAAAAATATGGCATTATATATGTAATTTTTATGAAAAAAGTTAAAGTCTTTAATAAATATAAAATTATTTCCAAATAAAAGGCATATTTTTTAAGCCTTAAATGGGGATTTTCCTTTTAAAGTATAAGCTCTTCCTTTAAAATAAATACAAATAGCAGGGCACTGGTGGCTCACACCTGTAATCTTAGCTACTCAGGAGGCTGAGGTCTGAGGATCATGGTTCAAAGACAGCCCAAGCAGGAAAGTCTATGAGACTCTTATCTCCAATTAACTACCAAGAAACTAGAAGTGGCGCTGTGGCTCAAGTGGTAGAGCACTTCCCTTGAGCTGAAGAGCTGAGGGCCAGCACCCAGGCCCAGAGTTCAAGCCCCATGACTGACAAAAAAATAAATAAATGCAAATAGTAAACTAGTCATTTCTATAACAGCAATTATAGTTAGTCATTATATCTAATACATGTATTTTGTGTGTCTGTGCCAGCCTGGGGGCTTGAACTCAGGGCCCAGGTACTTTTCTTGAGTTTTTTTGCTCAAGGCAAGCACTCTACCACTTGAGCCACACCTTCACTTCTGGCTTTTTTAGTAGTTCTTATTGGAGATAAGAGTCTCACAGTTTTTCGTGCCAGGGCTGGCTTTGAATTCTGATCCTCAGCTCTGAATCTCCTGAGTACTAGGATTACAGGTATGAGCTACCAGCACTTGGCACCATCCATTTACTTTTTATTTTAAGTGAACCTACCATAGAACTAGGAGGAAGTGTGTTTGCATACTTCTAGGCACAGTAATAAAAATAAGAACAGGAACAACAGATACCTAGTTCTTCCCTCTCCCACTTCCCCCCGCCACCCCCCCACCCCCCCCGCCCCGGTTGTATGGCTTGAACTCTGCCCTCAGCTCTTCAGCTCAAGACAACTGCTCTACCACTTGAGCCACAGTGCCACTTCCCAGATATCTAGAAAGACCTGTTCTCTCATCTTTTAAGTCATTGCAGATTCCACTTATTTTTTTTTTTAAAAAAACTGCCCAAATTATAGTTAATATTACAAAGCAGTTTATATCTAATACAATTCACTACAATAATCATAAATAAGTAAGTCTTATACTATACATGACTCAAAAATAAGGTCTCTATATGTAGGCCAACACAGAGGAGAGCTGAATTTCCTCTTTTTTTTGTTCTTTTTTCTTTTGTCGCTTGTGGAACTTGAACTCTGGGCCTAGGCGCTGCCCCTGAGCTCAAGGCTAGTGCTCTAACACTTGAGCCACAGCACCACTTCCAGTTTTCTGGTGGTTAAATGGAGATAAGATACTCACAGACTTTCCTGCCCAGGCTGGCTTTGAACTGCAAGCCTCAGATCTCAGCCTCCTGATTAGCTGGGATTACAGGCACCCGGCTGAATTTCCTTTTAATATTTTCTTTGTTATAGGCACATTTAACTCAAATTTTTCATTATGCGTAGTATTGAGTTTTCAACGTAATTTACTTAAAAAAAACAACAACAAAAAATTAATGCCAGGCACCAATGGCTCATGCCAAGCTACTCAGAAGGCTGAGATATGAGGATGGCAGTTCAAAGCCAGCCTGGGCAAGAAAGTCCATGAGACTCTTATCTCCAATTAACTACCAGAAAACTGGAAATAGAGCTATAGCTCAAGTGGCAAGGTGCTAGCCTTGAGCTGAAGAGCACAAGGATAGCATCCAGGCCAAGAGTTCAAGTCCCATGACCAACAACAACAAAAAAAAAACTAACAACAACAAAAAAAACATACCAGACAACCATAACTGACTTAAAAGAATCAAATTTAAAAACTATCTTTTGATGGTACTAGCCTGACTTCCTTAGTTGTTTCTATTTAAGTATAAATCACTCATCCCCCTCAAAGAAAAAAAAAAACTCCTAAGTTCTCTTAGACATGATAAACAAAAGTCTGTCTATCTTAGCCTTTAGTATCTATCACTGAGCAATCATTCCCATAATCTCAGAAATTATTTCAAATGTTTTAAGTTTTGTAAGAACTACAGGGATAGGCACTGAAGGCTCATTCCTGAAATGCTGCGACTCTTGAGGCTGAGATCTGAAGATGGAATCACATTTCATAGCCACCCCAAATAGGAAAATCCATGGACTCCCATCTCCAATTCAGCACCAAAAAGCAGGAAGTGGAACTGTGGCCCAAGTGGTAGAGTGCTAGCCTTTGGCAAAAAAAGCTCAGGGACAGGAACAGTCCCCAGGTCCTAAATTCAAGCCCTAGGCCTGGGGTGCACGCACGCACACACAAACACATGGAAAAAAAAAAAGAGAGAGAGAAAAGATAGCAGTAAAACTAAAATTATGTCAGAAAGACATTGACAAAATAAAAAAAAAAATGTTTGCACATTGCCAATGCAATTCTCCATCCAATATCTCAATGGCATCTTAGATAACCAGCCTATCATAATTGTTTCCCTATACCATTTCTTTTGTGCTATTATTTAATCTATCCAATTTAACTTTCCACATCATTGGTTGGCTGACTTTTCTTTAAATCTACCCTTATACTCAATCACAATTGTTCTTACTCTGCTCAAGGACCCCAATTTGTATCTTGAATTGTTTGATCTCCTGTATCCTTTGACTCCACCCTAACAATGTTGCCAGATAAGCTTTCTAAATGGAAAGCTGATAGATTATATTCCAGGCACAAATAAATCCTACTGTTAATAAAATTCAATCAATATCTACTCTGCAAAATCCTACCTTTAATTCCACATAACAACCCTACCCTCTATTTGAGGCACACAGAACTATTCAAAGTACACTAAAATATACTACTGCAGTTTCATAAAGTCATAGTTTTGCTGACAAACAAGTGTGGTAGCGAACCTCTATTTCCCTTGGAAAATTTATCCCAAACATCATAATCCATTAGAAACCATTTTTTACTTTCTAACTCCACTTTGAGCAAATTCAAGTAGAATAAGCATTCTTTCATTTATGGTCCCTAGTAGTCAATGCAGTCTTGCTGTACTCATTCATTTTTGTAACTCATTGAACTGAGAACTTACTAGGGAGCAGGAACCATGATATTTACTTTTCCAATTCTACAAATTTTGGAGGCTAAGTATATTTTAAATTTACCACTCGACACTTACCAAACTGAAACTGCTGGTTGTCCATGAGACGAATAGATGCAGGAGCACATCTCTGTTTAAAAATAAAAACAAAAAAAGCAATATTGTTTTAATATACTAGTAATCCACATAAGCAAAATATGAACATTGTCTTTCTCTAAGAGATCAAAAGAAAAAAAACTTTAAAAACACACCTTAACTTTTCGTATAATATAAAAACAAAATTTACTAGCTTCTATAAAGTGTTTAGAAGAGAAATCTACATATAAAACAGCTGCTTACACACATAAACATTAATTTATCACATCTTTATTTCAGCAAGATCTGTTTAATGCCTAGCAAAGCTCTATGGGAATAGGTCAAAAGAAATACCAGCCCTCAAGGTGGACCATTTTAGAAAAAAAATTAAGATTAAACACAGTGCCTGAAAAATTATACTGCTTATGAACTATATTATCTAAGTTTTTTAAACTATATTTTAAAAATGAGAGATAATGGAGGCAATTTTCCAAAAAACTTCTAAAAATTAATTGTAGTATCTCCATAGACAACTCTCGTGATCATTCCTTCTTTTTAATCCCTTCTCATAGTTTATTTTACATAGAAACCAGCCAGACAGTATCCAGATTTTTAATTTTTATTCAAGGTTACATGAATAAAAATAGAAACTTTGAAGGATAAGAAGAGGTATCTAAAGAATCAAATATTGCAGTGTCTTATTTATATAACCATGTGTTTAAAGTTGCAAAAAAGAAAAACTGAAGAATGCAGGTACAGGCTGATTTAGCCTTAACCTAAATCCTAAAATCCAAAATCACTAATATTGAAAACATTTTGAGCACTTACTTTTCACACACAGAATTTTAAATTTTAAAACATTTTGGATTTCCAAATAAGGGGTGCTCATCAATCCTAGTGTATACAAATACTCAAAAGTGGAAAAATAAATCTGAAAGCTGATACACTTAACATTCCAATTTTTTTATTAAGAAATATTTAGCTTTCATTCTTACTAATTTTATTATAATAAAGAACTACAACAGAGCTGATAAGGGTCATATTAGCTACAATTTCTCTACAAAATTAAAATTAAGCTAATTCTCACTGAACTTCAAATTCTTTCTTCTTTGAGACAGTGGCTCAAAAGAACAAATATCAAAAGGGCATTATTTTTTTAATATTCAATTTGAGTTGCTGTATCTAAAGTTAAGATTAGCTTTTGTTACCAATGTTTTAAAACTAGTTTGTAGGTTAAAGATCTAAAGTTTTCCTTTACAAACTCAAGATTACCTTTATGCTTTGAAGATAGCACAGACTGTAATAACTGTAGCTCTAATTTCATTCTCATCCTATTCTAGTATTCTGAAGTAAGACTGCAGTATCCCACAGAAAAGGGGAGAAAAGGTCCTTGAGTTAAAGTGACCCCTGCTGGTAGGTGATCAAAACTCACATGAAAAGAAATATTTCAATCAATTTTATTGTTGAATTAATGAGAAATTCAAGGAATTTAATAACAAAATCTGCTTACTCCAAGCTGAAATAAATTTAAATTTTTTATTTTTTATTGTGAAAATACTGTACAGAGGTGTTACAATTACATGGGCAAGATAATGAGTACATTTCTTATCAAGCATTGTAGCCTCCTCCTTTGTTCCCCTTCCCATCCCTTCCCATCCTTCCCCCGCCACCCCCCATAAAATAAATTATTAAGTCAAATTGCTGGTGATTTCTTTCAAGGAGGCTACAAACTTACTTAACTGTATAATGTAAAAAAGACAGTTTAAAAAAACCACTTTGATTACTCTTATTTTACTAAGTATTAGCAGTATTCTATGTACTAACTTACAAAAGCATCAAATTACTCAATACAAACACACTATTAAAAAAGGCCCTTCATGAAATACTTCAAAAGATTGCTGAAAAAAGGTTTTCCTAGGACCAAGTCATGGCTTCTATTTGCAGTTCAGATGGGACAAATTATTTCAAATGGTTAGTGACTGGGAAAAGAAATTCAGTATTGGCATATATTTCAATGTCTGAGGTTTCTATTATTTTAGCTTCTGCTTTTTTTGTGGGTCATGGGGCCTAAACTCTGGGCCTGGGCGCTGTCCCTCAGCTCTTCAGCTCAAGGTGAGCCCTCTACCTCTTGAGCCACAGCTCCACTTCCAACTTTTTTATGTGGTGCTGAGGAATAGAACCCAGGGCCTCATGCATGCAAAGCAACCACTCTGAGCCACCTTCCCAGCCCTATTTTAGCTTCTTTAAGATGAATTATTAAAGGATGAGTATTGAATGGATTATATTTGTAGTGTAAGGACTAAGGACTGAATCATGTTTGAGTTGAAAAAGTTTGTTTCTTCAAAAAGTAACTCAAACTTTCTGTGTAGATTCCTGAGCCTAAAGGCTATAATAGAAATGGTCTGATAATCTCGTATCATATCAAGCAAATGCTTCAGTACTAAAAACCATAAACTTTTGTATAGCATGATACATAAATGCAGAAGATATTATGGTATGTAATAACCTTAGTGATTACTAGAAAATACATACCATCCATTTCACTATGTGTCCTATGAAGTTAAGAACAGTATAGCCACAAAAACGGCAATGATAAAACTAATCATAAAAAAAAAAACTTCCAAAGAAGCTTAAGTCTGTTAAATGCAAAATTCTTGAGATAAAAACTTAACAGATTTTTCCTAACTTAGAAGTCAGAGTTGATATTAGAGAAAAAAAAATCACACAATATTTAAGGCTATTGTTATTACTGATTGATTATACTAGAAAGGACATATGACCCTAAGAGCTAAGAGTCCACAACAAAAAGAACTCTTATTAAGACAATCAAAACTTGATTTTTAAAGAATGGAAACAAACATATTATTGTCCAGACATTTCCCTTCACTTAAAATTAATGAAAGGATCAAACTTTAGCACGAGTTTCCTAATTCTCACATTTTGTCAGCTTAATAAAAGTAAAAAGTAGCTTATGATAGCCAGCACATCTTAAAATTGTTCTCATTTTTCTGGATCTGATAGTAAAGAATCTGGCTTATGAAACATTTAACTAAGGTCATACTTTCTGCTTCAGAGAGAGAAAAGTATGATACAAGTACTGATTTAAAGTGATAATTCCATTTTCTATATGTAACAATATTTCCTATAATTACTGTTAAATATACATGTGTTTTATAAGTGTTTTAAAGTATTTTAGTGTTTATAAGTATGTGTTAAAACTGTTGAAACTCCTCTTACCTAATTTGAACTCCTGCAGGATTAATTTTTACAGAACAATTTATGATACAGTTTTTCCTAATTATGATCTAAACTTGCTAGAAAAAAATCATCAGTTTAAAATTAAAGTGATAGAAAGTATTAAAGGCCACCCCTGGTCAAAAATAATGAGTAAAAAGACTTTTTGGGGGACAGAGGGGATGGGGGTCAGTCGTGGGACCTGGACTCTGGGCCTGGTCACTGTCCCTCAGCTCTTCAGCTCAAGGCTAGTGCTCTACTATTTGAGCTATAATGCCACTTCCTGCTTTTTCTGCTTATGTGTTGCTGAAGAATCGAACCCAGGGCCTCATGCATCCAAGGCAAGCACTCTACCACTCAGCCACCTTCCCAGCCAAAGGCTATTTTTTTAAACAAATAATTCTAAACACACACTAATACTGAAACAGTTTTTAAGGAAATTGAGTACTAATCTATCTCAAATATTCCATTTTTTTCTCTAACTGGAAGAATGGTTCCTCCTTCAATGTCAAAATGCATGCTTCATTATTCTCCCTAAAAACACACAGTGAAAAAAATTCTGCTTGTGGGCCTGTTTGAAACCTTGTAAAGATATCACTGTCATTTCCTTTTTTTTTTTTTGGGGGGGGAGGGGGGGGGTCGGTCGTGGGGCTTGAACTCTGGGCCTAGGCGCGGTCCCTCAGCTCTTCAGCTCAAGGCAAGCGCTCTACCACTTGAGCTACAGCGCCACTTCCAGTTTTCTGGTGGTTTATTGGAGATAGGAGTCTCATGGTCTCTCCTGCCCGGGCTGGCTTTGAACCGCGATCCTCAGATCTCAGCCTCCTTAGTAGCTAGGATTACAGAGCGTGAGCCACCAGTGCCCAGCTTATTGTCATTTCTAAACAACAACAAAATCAAATGTCCTATCTGATACTGATATTCCAATTTTAAAACCCAATTTCCTCTACCCTCTTGAAAGACTAACAGAAAATCTATTATCTAAGAAAGTCTTAAAAATCACTTACCCATCTACTGAGTAAAGAAGGGTATTAGACTGGACTGCCACTTAGGAGACACAGTCTCATTAATATTACACTAAATCTTCCTATAGATCCTCACAAGGCAGTAAAGCATTGAAAAAGTACAATTCCTCACATGCATAAAGATCACAGACAAGACTGCGGCAGAATCCATCAGTTGCCATTGTAAGGTTGCTTAATTTACTTTCTTTAGTAAGAATAGTACAAATATATACTAAGCCCACTTTGCTATATGTGAAAAATCATGTGTGTTCTTTTCCAAAAGACAGTCATCCAAAATAGACTTTCCAATTTCAAAAAAGCACCTCGAGAACAAAAACACTGTAAAAATAGAAGTGCTAAGAAATGACAATGAAGAATTACAAATGGTCAACTCATTATTCAATCAAGAATTTGGCACGATCATAAACAATGTACCATCTATTTTAATAAACCTTAATTCTCCAGCTATCAGCTGAAATTCCAAATCCCAAACTGAACAATTAGTGCCAAAATCTGATAATTTTCTATTTTTTAAACCTAAGAATACTGTTACAAAGGAAAAAAAATGGTGTTCTACTCCTTTGACATATGAGATTTGTATACTCAGTGAACTCATAAGGCGGATATATCCCTAAGCCATTATAAAATATTTTCATCCATTTTATTCCATTTCTAGGTACACAATAATGCTTCTCTACAGGTACATTATATATAAAAATAAAATACGCAAATGTGAAAAATAATATGATTATCTCTAAATCAGAGTAACTATTCTTAGCAAAGAAATACTTGAGAGAAAATATTATCAATAGACTTTTAAATCAGTTTCAGTAAGGCAAACTTTCAGGTCCACAGTAGATCTACCGTAATTGTCCATTACTATGTACACAAAACTAAACTGTTAATATAAAAACTACAGAAAAGTGCTCTCATTTTTTTAACCTGCTTTTTAACTTCATTGTGGCACTTTCTTTAGTCATTTCTTACCTTTATTTATTCCAGGATGCACATACCTAAAATAATATTGTCCAGGTAATTTAGACTATGGCCATAGAGTAAATATACTATTTGTTTTTAAATTAATAAAAGGGCAAGTTTCACTGATTTGTATAAGGACAAAGAAAAATTCTATTCCCTACAGTTCAACAGGACTGATAAGTACTTCCTTGTCAGTCACTTTCTGTTAGGAGTCTATCAAAATGTAACAAAACTGTATCAGATTATACCAACTATTTATGTTTAAATCCAATAGACGCATTCTAATGAAAATGTAAACTTAAGGTTCTGGTGTATTTGTAAAAAGCTTCTCAATGATGAAACCTAAGATATATTTACATGTGAGTATTTGCAATGAAGCACTCAGAAAATTACAAAACATACATACGTCTACTCCAAAGATCTCTTAACAATACGTTTCAATGAATCTATTAAATCTGTGTTCTTATAACAGATATTATGAAGGAACAGAATTGGCCCAATAGACTGAATTATCTTATGAAGATCCATTTTTGAAAAAACTACTTTTTAACCTCTACAATTTTATTTGTTTTCTTCCTACGTAACCCAGGTTGATCCCATGTCATCCTGCCTCAGCCTCTAAGAAGAGATTTTTTTTAATTGTAACTTGATATTCATGTTTATTTTGTCATAAAAATTGAAGTAGTAATGATTATTTAGAAATATTATTCAAGCCAGGCACTGGTGGCTCACACTTGTAATCCTAGCTACTCAGGAGGCTGATATCTGAGGATTGTTGTTTGAAGTCAACCCTGGCAGAAAAGTCTGTGAGATTATTATGTCCAATAAACCACCAGAAAACATGAAGTGGCCCTATGGTTCAAAGTGGTAGACTGATAGCCTTGAGTGTAAAAGCTTAGGGACAGTGCCCAGGCCCTGAGATCAAGTCCCATGATTGACACAAAAAAGAAGATAGAAATATTACTCAACACTAAACAAAAGTTCTACAATGTTTTAAAGTTTTAATTTGGCATTCACATTTCTTTTTCCATAAATATGGAAGCAGCAATGAATAGCTAGAAATGTTATTCAAAACTGAACAAAATATTTTGAACTGAATCTTTAATAAAGTTTTTATAATTTTTAAATTTTATTTTATAAATAAAATTCCAGGGGGGGTGGGGGGAGGGGTGGGGTGGGGTGGGGGGGAGTCTGGGAAGGGATGTGAAGGGTAAACAAAGGAGGAGGCTGCAATGCTTGATAAGAAATGTACTCATTATCTTGCCCATGTAACTGTAACCCCTCTGTACAGTATGTTCACAAAAAATTAAAATTAAAATAAATAAATAAAATAAAATTCCAAATTTTGAGGCCATGGATATTCAGCCATTATTCTGATTTCAACAACTATCTTGTTTAAGGCATATTAAGTTTTTCAATTACTCACAAAAAATTTACCTCCAAGTAACTTTAAATATACATTCAGTATAAGGCCATCAAGGCCATCAATTATATATATATACATATATATGTATATATATATATATACACACAGAGATATAATTGGCTTAAAATCATATATCCTTCTTTAAACTAAGAAAAAAAATTGATACAATATAATTACTGAAAGAAGTAACTATACTTTAAGGGCTTTACCTTTTCATATACAACTGAGTAAAAAACACAAATATAACACAGCTAAACATAAAGATTACTGTAACATAATTATATAGAAATATAAAAATTAAGTATATACATATATTAACTTTTTTACCTGTTTTGCAATTTCTCTTAAACAAGCTACTCCTTGTTCAAAATTAGGGAACGCTACCGAGCCATACTTTTGGTATTCAGGGACTGGTCTGATTTTTACTGTAGCTTCTGTTATTACACCAAGAGTTCCTGAAAAAGAAGGGAGAAATAATCCAATACATCATGAGGATTTTCTAAATCATATTTATGTGTGTATGTGTGATCTTCTCACTGAGATTATATAAAATGGCCCTCCTATAACTGTATGATTGCAACTTGGTTCAATTAATATTTTAACCTAAAACAGTTACCATATAAAATTTAAATTTTTTATCATTTATATGTGGATGCTAGGCCTTAAAAATGTTTTTATAAACATGTATATAAGTATAAATATACATGTACATAATTAGTTAAACAGAACATGAATCAAACTAAGAGATTGCTCAGAAGGAGAGGGAAAAGGGAAAAATGAAGACGATGAATAACTGTAATACATCATAAGTATATATGAGAGCAACACAGAGAGACTCACCAAAAACTAATGGCCAATAGGAGAATGGACTCGCTCAACACTATGTTGAAAACGAACTATACAAATTGTGGGTGGGAACAGGAGAGAAAAATTCAGGAGAGCAAGGGAAGGGGTCATACTATTCAAAGTTAAATGTACTTTTTGTCTGACTTATGTAACTGTAACTCCTCTGGATATTACCTTTACAATAACAAATTAAAATGCAAAAAAAAAAAAATAGGAGAATGGAAGGAAAGAGAAACAAGCACTTAGTGGACTAGTTAGAGGGGAAGATGGCTGAGAGGAGGATAATGAAGACTGAGCACTGTCAAAAGATTATTTCCAACGAAGACTATAAAACAAGGAAATCTGTTGGGGACACTATTTCTTAGAGAGAAGAGGAAGGGAGTGTAATGGAGGGGGTAAAATGATTGGAATACACAATGTAGACATGTATAAAGATATAACCAATATTAGCCACAAAAAAGCATTATTACAAATTTTAAATATTAGGTTAACATCTTTCTTTACTGAGATATAATCTAGCAATAAAACTTACCTAAAGTACAAAATTGAATGGTTTTTATAGTACATTCACATATACGCACAACCACGATAAGTTTTAGGCTATTTTCAAACTTTCCAAAAGAAATCTATACCAATTAAAGTCACAATGAATTTCCACACCTACATCAGTCAATCCTAATCTACGTCCTGTCTAGATACATATTCACACAAGACATTTTACATAAAAGAAATTTCACAAAATATGGCCTTGGGACTGGCCTCTTTCATTTAAATGTTTTTAAGGTCTGCATGTGTTATCTCATTTATTCACTGTTTTTAAAACAGTGGTAATTACTATTATTCCATTATATAGTAATACTCACTTTATCTGTTCATTAGTTGATAAAAAATTTGGAACTCCACTTTTTGGCTACTGAAAATACTATGAGTATATTACACTATAAATATATTATGCGAGGGTTTTTTTTTTTTTTTTGCTTTGGGAAGCACTGGGGTTTGAACACAGGAAAGAACTCAGAACCTTATTCTTGCTACGCAAACATTCTACCATTTGAGCCTCACTTCCAACCTTCTTTTATTTTTTTTTACTTTGTCAGCCTTGGACCATAATCCTCCCATTTTCATCTTCAGAGTAGCAAGAATTACAGATGTACTACTTCTACTGGTTTTTGTACACAAGTTTTTATGTGGCATTTCTTTCTTCTTCTTGGGTATGTGACTAAAAACTTTCTTAGTTTTAGGGGAAATTTCCTAATGCTTCTAATACTTTTTTTCAAGATTAAGTTTAAGCTATCTTTTCCCAAGTTTAAGTTTCAGATAACTTGCAGCCAAATGTGGAACTCATTTCTGGATCAAGGGAACACTAATGCTGGGACCCTAATCACCCTTGCTCTGGCTTGTCATTATCTGATTTCTTGACAGGAAAAGAAATCTAACTTTTACCTATTTTCCTTGTCCACTTATACTTCTAAATGAACAAAATATCCAAGATTCAGCTAAAATAGGAGCCTACATACTTTACTGCCAAAACAAATAAATTACAAGAAATGGGTTCAAGCACAAGCCAAGACGTTTGTACCCTTATAAGCAAGGATGCTGTGGCACAATAACAAAGACCTTTCCTTTTTTTGTGGTTTGGTAAGAACTTGTTTACAACCTTTTGTAAATCTAAGTCACTTTAAACAAGTGTTTTCCTAGTTTTAGGGGGAAAAAATCCTGATGTATATAATACCTTTCTTCAAGATTAAGTTATCTTCTGTGTTGGTGAGTACTTTTTTCTATTTTGCTACTGGCATATAGTTCTGGACTCACTGCCTGTTTTTCATATCGTTTCTTTCTTTAGTCTTGAATTTTTATTGTTATATGAAACTGCTTTAATTATAATATTGCTGTCAATATTTCAACTGTTTCAGAAGCAGGCAGGAAAATAGCTGTGCTTCAAACTATAAAATATAGAGTTATGAGCTAACTGGATAGTGTCAGTAATTTCACTCTAGATATAGAGCCAAGAAAAATGGAAATATTATGTCCACACAACAATCTATACATGAATGATCACTATAACATAATTGATAGCAACCAAAAAGTAGAAATAATACAAATGTTCACCAACTGACAAACGATGAACAAGATGTAGCATATCCATGCAATGTAATATTATCCAATCACAAAAAAGAATAAAGTGGAGATGGAACATAGCTCCAGTGGCAGAACACTTGGCTACCATGTGTGAATTCCTGGGTTCAATTCAGGTATGATGATACACATCTCTAATCCTAACTGGAAGCTGAGCTAGGAGGCATGTCCATTCATGTTTATGACTAATGTGGGGCTAGAGTCCCTGTCTCAAGAACAAAAATAGGAAAAAACCCTAGCTACTTATTACTTGAATATACGCACATCATGCCAATAGTCGATACTCCATGTAACTGTTTACAAATAAATTCATGGCAATGTAACATAATAGAGGTTTATACATGTTTTGAGGTTTTTAAAATATTCTAATAAATTTCCATTTTATTTCAGAATTTGTCAAAAATTTTTTTTTTGCTCTGGAGGAAAACTAAAGGCTTCAACTCTTAGTTGCTATAAAATCCAAGTAGCTGCTTAAAGCAAAATCATAATTTGAAAATGCACTAACTGGTAACATAATTAGAAAAAAATCAGTATCATTAGTTTCTGAATCTGTCCTCTCCTTCTACTTCCTATATGGGATCTACAACTTATTACTGTGACACAAAAATACTGCAACTATCAAATCTCTACATAGAAATGAAAGAAAGAGAAATCCAACAGCTCTCCTAAAGCCTCCCAGCTGCCGTAGGATTGTAACACTGAAAACAAAGTAATATAAGCTTAAAAACTTACACAACAAAGGGTAGAAGGTATAAGCTAACTGAAGACTTACAATAATACAGATAAAATTGCATCTAAAAAGCAAACTTGGAACAAAAAATCCCCAAATACTCTAATCACACTTGGAAAGTTCAAAAGCCCTCCTATAGGGAGAAGTTTGAGAATAGGAAGAAACTAAAACTATCTTGAATATGCAAGAGGAATAGCCAATACACACAAATAGACCTGCTGTATATTCTATCCTACAACGATCCTTTTGCTCCAGTTATAATTAAAATCTGGCAATAGCATGATAGAGTTCCTTCTCGCTTCTACGTGTGTCTACCTGCATCTTCTTTCTAGAAGGCAACTTGATCTGGAATTACTTCCTACTCATGAATCTTTTAGGACCACATTAGTTATTTCTAGGCTTCCCTATAGCACCCATGGACCTTAATTGTCTGCATTTCTCTAGCATTTACTTCAATCATAGATTATATCGTCTGCAGTATAGTAGTTTGTGTCCTTAAGTCTATGTGGACAGTATCTAGCATACAGAATTTTAAAATACTAGTTGTCTGATGAAGTTAATTGAAAAGAAGTCCCCACCCCACCCCCCACCTCCGTCCTTTTATCGTGGGGCTTGAATTCTGGGCCTGGGCACTGTCCCCCAGCTCTTCAGCTCAAGGCTTATAATACTCTATCACTTGAGCCATAGAGCCACTTCTGGTTTTCTGGTGGTTAACTGGAGATAAGAGTCTCACAGACTTTCCTGCACAGGCTGGCTTTGAACCTTGATTCTCAGATCTCAGTCTCCTGAGTAGCTAGGATTACAGGCATTAGCCACCAGCGCCCAGCAAGATAATGTATTTTTAAAGTTAACTCCAATTATATATATACTTCAATCATTAATTTAAAATTAAGAGTTGTGGGGCTGGGAAGGTGGCCCAGTGGTAGAGTGCTTGCCTTGCATGCATGAGGCCCTGGTTCAATTCCTCAGCACCATATAAGCAAAAAGCCGGAAGTGGTGCTGTGGCTCAAGTGGTAGAGCACTAGCCTTGAGCTGAAGAGCTGAGGGACAGCGCCCAGGCCCAGAGTTCAGGCCCCATGACCGGACCCAAAAAAAATAAAAAAATAAAATAAAATAAAATTAAGAGTTGTGATATCTATTATTCAATTTGACATCTGATAGTAAAAGGTTAGGTTAATTTATCTTAGACATATTAACACACAGTCCAGAAAAATAATCAAGAATTACATGTTTTTAAAGAATTCAATAGTTTTACTTTTCCTTATTAAAAAAGCAATACTGTTTTCTCATATAATATGCTGATCAGAACAGGATTAAACAGTAAACTGGTGAGATATCTTGACAAAGATCTGTAATTCATTATCCTACAAAAAAAAACTGTTATATGACTTACTGGTCATCAGCCTAGCACAGGCTCAGTGATATAGCCTCTACCTTATCAAGAGATATAATTTACTTTTTCCCTCTTTGATGTTACCATCAAAGATGAGAATTTATTCTACAATATCTTACTTTGCTAAAAGTATTCCATTATTCCTGAATAAAGCTAAATACTTCCAAAATCTATCTTATGTCAGCTCAGACTTTGCTGACTTAGAAAAGTTTCTTATTTATATCTATTTTATTACTCTGAATTTAAGGGAGGTTTTCAACCTAAACTAAAATCTGAAAAAAAAGCCCATGTTTATGCTATGCATATAATACAACACTGTGCCTAGAAAACATTCCGCAAAACAGAAGAAATAAGGTCAATGTTCTTCTGATCTGTACAGGAATTCTATGCTTTGGATGAAATGAAGAATGACATTCTCATCTACTGAATATTAAGTAAACAAGCAAGGATACCACCTGCAATGTAAAATATTAAATGAAGAGAAGTTTAAATCATTTTAAACCCTAATAACTTTTCTTAAAATTCATTTAAAATTTCAATATGATATAAAACCAAAAAGATTACACTGTCTCTAGAAATATAAAAAGCAAAACCTAAGATAAACTTTAATAAAATGTTCTCACAATAAATGAAGTACTAATTAAAACTTTTTTAAAAATTTCAAGGCTCTTTATTCCTTAAATGCATAAAACATTACCTTCAAATATCTGATATCATAACATCACAGATTCTCATATAACTAAGTCACTAACCTCTATTTTTCATAATAAATTTTCACTTATAGTTATTTACCTTCAGATCCCATGATGAAGTGATGGATATCAGGGCCTGTTGACATACGAGGTCCTTGAGAGCTTTTTTCTATTATACCTCTAGGTGTGACCACTTTCATATGAATCACCTGTTTAACGCAATACATACATGATACAAATTCTAAATATCTGTAAATAAATTTGCCTGTGTGCTTACAAACATATTAAAGTATTTTAATATAAAACACTATTTTCGGGCTGGGGAGGTGGCTCAGTGGTAGAGTGCTTGCGATTCCCCAGCATCACCGGAAGTGGCATTGTGGCTCAAGTGGTAGAGCGCTAGCCTTGAGCTAAAAGAGCTGAGGGACAGCGTCCCTGAACTCTGGAGTTCAGGCCCCACGACCGGACCCAAAATAAATAAATAAAAATAAATAAATAAATACATAAATACATAAAACACTATTTTCAAAATAAACGATAAGCTGTGAAGGTGTGGCTTAACTGGTAGAATATTAGCCATGAGGAAAAACCTAATGAACAGTACTTGGGCCTTGAGTTCAAGCCCCAGTACTAGCATGCACACACAATCCGACGCCCCCCTTATTACCCTTCCCTCTCCCCCTCCCTTCCTATACGCACATACAAAAGTAACTAGAGAAGCCTGAGGCACACTGCATACAAGAGAAAGAGAAAGAGAAAGCAGGTATACTGAGAAAAGTCATTCCAAAAAATAGTTTCCAGTATCTGAGGAAGAAAAAGCTGGCTGCTGGGCACTGGTGGCTCACGCCTGTAATCCTAGCTACTCAGGAGGCTGAGATCTGAGGATCACGGTTCAAAGCCAGCCCGGGCAGGAGAGACCGTGAGACTCCTATCTCCAATAAACTACCAGAAAACTGGAAGTGGCGCTGTAGCTCAAGTGGTAGAGCGCTCGCCTTGAGCTGAAGAGCTGAGGGACAGCGCCCAGGCCCAGAGTTCAAGCCCCACGGCCGACAAAAAAAAAAAAGAAAAAAGAAAAAGCTGGCTAAATATCCAACACATTTTTAGAATAGATTCTAACAGATAAATGTTTATTACTAAAGGAAATAAGCAAAGAGCATCAATAAACAATTCCCTAAAAAGCAGAAAATAAAATTGCCAAAGAGGACATATTAAAAATTTACATTCACTAGCAATTTTAAAAAGGTAAGGCTAGGCATAGTGGTGCATACCTATGACCCAACCACTTGGGAAATGGATATAGAAGAATTAAGTTTGAGGCCTGCCAGGGCTAAAAAAACCGCTAGTAAAATTATCTCAAAAACAAGCCAGAATCAGAAGCCAGGATCCACTCTTGTAACCTTAGCCAATCAGGTGGCAGAGATTGAGAAGAACACAGTTTGAGGCCAACATAAGGCAAAATGCTCATGAAACCCCATGTGAACCAATAGCTCAGTACAGTGATACATGCTAACATCCTAGCTATACAGATCAGAAGGATCAGGTTCAGGTTCCAAGACAGCCCAGACAAAAAAAGTATGCAAGACTTCATGTCTACAGAAAAAGCTGTACCTGGGGTTACTTATCTGTCATCCCAGCTATGTGGGAAACATAAAGAGGAGAACCACAGTCCCAGCTAGCACTGTGGAAAAATGAGACCCTACTTCAAAAATAACCTTAGCACAAGAGGCTGGAGGCATGGTTCAAGTGGTAGAATGCCTGAATAACAATCACAAACCTGAGTCCAAAACCTACTATTCCAAAAAATATATAATAAAATATGAAAGACTAATAAGATGACAAAAGAACGGAGGATATGAATATGATCAAAGTGCATGAAAAATGTGTGCAAGTATATAGTAACTCTTATTCAATAATAGAGTTTATTTTAATGCAAAAAGAATATAATTTTTAAAATTCCTCAATAAAATAAATAAGATTAGGTAAACATTTTTTTAAAGTCTGCAGAATATTGATATCTTAAATAACTGGTGTTAATGATAAAAGTATATTTCATTAAAGAAGTATTTGTTATTACTATTAGTAATAAAAATGCTGCAACATTAGAATTGAAAACCAAACTGAACATAAAGTTCTCTAAAATGTGCCAAGCATTATGACACATTTGCAATCCCAGCATTCAAGAAGCTAAGAAAGAATTTTCAGTCTGAGGCCAGCATGAGCTACATAGTAAGATGCTGACTCAAAAAACAAACAAATGGATGGATGAATGAGTGAAGTTACCAAATACTAAAGGTGGTCCTGAACCCAAGGAACACCAAAGACTTAAATTTTCATTTTATATTCTTTTAATTCTTAGAATTCTATGCTCAGAATTCTACACTATCATTCTATTTTACAAAAAAAAAAAAGAAACAGGTTTTGAAAGGCAAAACAATCTATATAACACTGTTAATCACTGGAAACGTTATAGATGGAACAAAAAATATAACTAGTGTGCTCACAGTTACATTACTATCACATTAGCAAACTGGCACAAGGCAAAGTAAAATTTATTCACATTTAAGTATTACAAGTCTTATTACTACATAATAGAATAATTTCAATTGGGCCATATTCCATAGTTTAAAATTTTTTCCAGAAAAAAATGAATGTAAAAATCTCCTAATGTAACATATAGCAATAATGAGATCATCTAAATAAATGAACTAAATAAATGAAGAATATTTAAATAAATATTTGTAAAAAATTTACAAGCTTAAATATTAGTCACTTGAAAAGGGGCATTCTAAAATAATGGCCACAGCTGTGTTATTTAATTGCTTAAATATTAGTCACTTGGAAAGGGGAAGATCCTTTAAAAATGAGCAGAGCTGTGTCTTTCGATTGTTTCTATTATACATGTTTAATATTACTATAATCAAAAAGGGTATACTTTTGAATCCAACTTTTAATTTTTAAAGGCTTTTAATCATTTTATAAAAGACTTTACTCACTAACCAATTATTATACGATAACTATAAAAAATTACCAGGTCCTCAATATTGCCATAGATATTCTTCTTCATGCCTGATGCCCGGGTAGATATCCATCCTCCCATAGTGCTGAATTCCAGGGAGTCCGGTTCATGACCTGTACAATAACCACTTTCTTTAAGCTGAAAAGTAAAAATGTAACATTTTACTACTGAAATTTTACAACCAATTTACAACCATTTACTACCATTCACACAGCATTCAATACATTAACCGCTCCTATATTGAAATTTCCATGTCATTGTTGTTTAGATTCAATAATCTTGTTTAGAAAAATAAAATTTTTATCATACTACTACTAATTTTTAATAATTTTGCCTACTGGATAACTATAAAACTAAAGGTAGACCAAAAGACACTTGTATTTTCCAATTATTTACTCCTTACATTATTTTACTTTAATGCCAGTTGTCCCTCCTACATTTTTTTTACACAGAGGCAATTTCAATATGTATGAAGATCAGATTATGCTTAAAGAACTGCCAAGTTCACCCAAACAGTTTCAATAAATAAAGCACTTAATCTCTTTACTCCCTACCCTAATATAATATGCAGTAGGTCTACAGAAAATCTGAGCAAATTGCCTGTACTTAATTCTCTCAAGGAGTCATGTGTTTTAATGTACAGCCATCTGGCTAAGTTTCCTGCATGTAACACTGTCATTTACTTGGGATGTGGATCGTGGATTCCTGTACATTAAACAGTCACTTGTTCCTCATTTTTCTATATTAGTTTGGCTGCGCCATCTGCACAACACCTGAGGTTGAATGGATGCCCTTTACTGAAACACCACCAAAGCCATTCTACTGAAATCACTTTAAAGACTCAACTACCTCCTGTCAAATGGTATGACACCACCATCTGCATACCCACTGTCTACTGCACTCAAGCCCATCAATCTGTGTTGACCATTTTGACAGTCATTCGGTGAAGCAACTGCTTCTGTTTTTGAAGTAAACCATGCAGAGATGTATAATATGTCAGCTCTGCTTGTACCTATGTATTTAAGTATGATAGGGAAATTGTAATCCAAAATTTTAGTCTATTTAGACAAATATCATTTGTTAGTGTTTGGACACTAGCAATGGAAATTATTCACCTTTTCTAATTTTGTTTCTAGGAAAGCAAGATTTGAAAAACATTGTTATTTAAGTTTTTCACTAAACATTCATCTTATTTATGTTTAAGATGATTATAACCATTCACAAATAAGCTAGGTTAAAATGAACATTATCAGACTGTCACAGGGCCTGGGAAGGTGGCTCAGTGGTAGAGTGCCTGCCTTGCATGCATGAGGCCCTGGGTTCCATTTCTCAGCATATTAGCAGAAAAGGCCAGATGTGACACTGTGGCTCAAGTGGTATAGCGCTAGCCTTGAGCTGAAGAGCTGAGAGACAGTGCCCAGGCCCAGAATTCAGGCAAAAAAAGAAAGAAAAACAAAACAAAATCTAGACTGTCACATTTCTTCCTGAACTCTATCCTCAAACATTCTATTTTGTGCATGTGTGTGTGTGTGTGTGTGTGTGTGTGTGTGTTTGGTGTGTGTCTGGCGTGTGTGTACACAATATTGGGACATGAATTTAGGGCCTGCATATTGTCCTTTAGCTTTTTTGCTCAAGGCTGGCACTCTAAACCACTTGACCCACATCTCCACTTTGAGCTTTTTTTGGTTTAAAAATCAAAGTACTAGCAAGAAAAAACAGAAACTGAAACTCTCAAATAATACTGGTAGGAATACAAAAGAAAATAATCATTTTTAGAAAAAGTTTCTTTTTTTTTTTAACTGTTTTGGCTACATACTCCATTTCTAGATATTTATCTAAGAGCATGACAATATACAATAGATTTCTACATGACTGTTGGCTGCAAGCTTTACTTGTAAATAGCCTTAAAATGAAAATAATCAGGGACTGGGAAGATGGCTCAGTGGCAGAGCACTTGCCTTGCATGCCTGAGGCCCTGGGTTAGATTCCTCAGCACCACATAAGCAAAAAAGGAAAAAAAAGCCGGAAGTGGTGCTGTGGCTCAAGTGGTAGAGCGCTAACCTTGAGCTGAAGAGCTGAGGGACAGTGCCCAGGCCCAGAGTTCAGGCCCCACAACCAGACCCAAAAGAAAGAAAAGAAAGAAAATAATCAAAGTAAGGATCAACAAGCAAAAGGATAAACTAGATGATAGAATACTAACTATATGATAGAATACCACTAAATAATAAAAATAATACATGAAATAGTAAAAATGAATCTCAAAATAATTATGACCAGAGACACTGCACCTGTAAAAGCGAACTATATGATTATACTACAATAAAACTGTAGGAATTAAAATCTATCTATACTTCCCCCCAGTATAACCCCTGCTTTCATTGTATTTGATGTCGGTATAATTTGTGGAGGAGATGGGGAAAAACAAGTCGTTTAAATAAGGATACAGGTGGACCTGTTGCAACAATGAGAAGTACAAGTTGTCATGTCGAAAACGAACTTTACAACTTGGGGGGGGGGGGGGGGGAGGATTGAGTGGGGGGGGGGGAGGGTTGGGTGCGGGGGAGGGAGGATGGGAAGGGATAGGAAGGGTAAACAAAGGAGGAGGCTACAATGCTTGATAAGAAATGTACTCACTATCTTGCCCATGTAATTGTAACCCCTCTGTACAGTATTTTCACAATAAAAAAAATAAAAATTAAAAAAAAATCCATCTACACTGAAAAAACAAAAAACCATGATTGTCATGGATTAGGTAAGGACTTTGAGTAGGGCTGAGAAAAGCAAGAGGAAACATTTGGAATTCATGGATATATTCATTATCCTGATGGTGCTGATGCTTTCATGGCTGTACTCATGTCAAAGGTTACCAAATTACACATTTATCAAGAAACATTTACTATATGATAGTTATACCTCACTTAAATTATTATGAAGTAGCATACTATAAAACAAAAACACATGACTCAGATTTTGATCTAAGATCCCTAAGAAATAAACTCTATCAAGTGAGAATTAAGCAATTACAGAATAAACAAATTTTGGAAAATATTACAAATTTTACCCCTAAATATTCAGGCTTTAAAATGGTGAATTTGAAATGTCTATTAGACATTTAAGTAGAGAGACCAACTAGGAAACAGGATGTATGTTCAGAAAAAGTGTCCATATCAATGATACAAATTTGGGGGTCTATAGTACATAAAAAGAATACTTAAGGTCATGTATGACTAGATGAGGCAAATAATGCTCAATTAAAATTAGTTGAATTAAAATTTCTAAGTATTTTACATTATTAACTTATTTTATCCTAACAAAAACTTCATAAAGTAGAATTATTCCCACTTTATAAAAGAAACTGAGGCATAAAGGTTAGTGATTTGCTCAAAGTTACACACCTAGGAGCTACAGTTTACAGTAAAAGCTAATATCCATTAGAAACAAAAAATATAACAGGAAGCTGGATGGGAAAAAAAACAAAAAACAGAAACACATCCAGACTATTAACTAGTAAAGTAGCCAAAAGTGTAATAAACCTGAAAAATATCCCCAAATTCAGAACGGACATGTTAATGACTTTCCTTATACATATTAAAAATCAGTGCAAGCCAGGCACCAGTGGCTCACACTTGTAATCTTAGCTACTCAGGAAGCTAAGATCAGAAGACTGTAGTTCAAACCAGTTCAGGCAGAAAAGTCCGTGAGATTTTAGCTATTATGGTATGTATCTGAAGAACAAACTAAAAGCAAAATGACTAAGAGTACATACAGCTCAAACAGCAGATACTTGCCTAGCAAGTGTGAAGTCCTGAGTTCAACTCCCAGTAAGACAGAGGGAGGAAAGGTAGGAGAGCAAGGGAGAAGGGAAGGAGAGGGGGAAGGAAGGATTAAAAAGAAAAGAGAAAAAAAGAATCCAAACAATGCAATATACTGTGAAAAGTACTTTATTCAGACAGAACATAGAGCAGTTTTTTAAACCTTAATACAGAGATGTCATACCTGTCTTTCTAATTCTTGTCCTGTTATGCCAGCCTCTACATGAGCTGTCAGATTGTTCTCATCTACCCACAGAATTCGATTCTGTTACAAAAGAAAGAGAAAAGTTTATCTCTATGAACTAATATTTCCTCAGGAAATATTTAATTTCTTTAAATCCAAAGCAATGAATGATAAAGACTATTAAGCAAGTAGGGTTTTCCAATGGACAGCTACATGGGAAATGAGTTCCACTAAAACCTTAATATATAACATGTCATATTAATCAAGGCAGTTGGCTGGTTAAAAAAAAGACTGTCTTTATGCATGTATTAATTTGAATTGAACTCAATCTTTTAGCTTAGTCAAAAACTCTATGCCTAGAACTAGTGGTTCATGCCTTAATCCTACTACTCAGGAGATTTGAGATCTGAGCATCACGGTTTGAAGACAGCCTAGCTGCCACAGTCTGTGAAACTCTTATCTCCAACTAAGCACCAAAAAAGCTGTAATTGGAGCTGTGGCTGAAATGGTACAGTGCTAGACTTAAGCAAAAAAAAAAAAAAAAAAAAGAAAGAAAGAAAAAGAAAAGCTCAAGGATAATACCCAAACCCTAAATTCAAGTCCCAGACCAATAAAAAATAAAATAAAATAAAAAACCTTGTCCAGGCTGAAGTGCTTATTTACTTGCAAAACAAAGACAATAGTAATACGTACTGACAGGGTTGTTGTAAGAACATGAGATGCTGTGCATGAAAAACATAGCATATATGAAGCCTGCCAATACTATCAGCAGTACTGTTAACAAAGCAATCATATTTACTTAAAAGTTTAAAAAAAAAAAAAAATGAAGAGCTGGGCCCAGTGGCTCACGCCTGTAATCCTAGCTACTCAGGAGGCTGGGATCTGAGGATCAAGGTTCAAAGCCAGCCTGGGCACAAAAAAACGTGAGACTCTTATCTTCAATAAACTACTCAGAAAACCAGAAGTGGCACTGTGGCTCAAGTGGTAGAGTGCTGGCTTAGAGCTGAAGAGTACAAGGACAGCGCCCAAGCCCAGAGTTCAAGACCCACAACCAATCAAAAAAAAAATGAAGCCAGGCTCCAGTGGCTTATCCTAGCTATTCAGAATGAGACCTAAGGACTGCAATTCAAAGCCAACCCAGGCAGACAAATTCTCAAGACAACCTCTAAGAAGCTAGAATGGAGCATGCCTCAAGTAGCTGAGTGACAGCAATGAGCAAAAAAGCAAGTGCAAGTAGCTGAGTGACAGCAATGAACAAAAAAGCAAGTGAGAGCACAAGACTCTGAATTCAAACCCACATACTTGAACAAAAAGAAAAAAAATCAGAAAATGGATGGAAAAAATACACCTGCTAAGTTATCTTAATACAAATGGCATTTCTGCTTTAATCTGAAATAGAATCAGAAATCCCATGTAGAAAACAGCATATCCCTGCCTCATTCTTAAAACAACTGAGTATTTTCTGACTCAGCTTACCAAATGTAAGATAGCCAACAAAGGTGTGCTTTTTGCAATTCTTAGTTGATCCAATTTTTACCTATATATATGAATGTTCATGAATTATTTTCTATTATTAAGAATGAAATTCCTGGGCGGGATTGGGAGGGGGAAGAGGGAGAAAAACGAGGGAGGGCTTAGCAAGTTCAACAAGAAACGTACTCATTACCTTACATATGCAACTATAACCCCTCTGTACAACACCTTGACAATAAAACTAAATTAAAAAAATAAAAAGAAGAATGGCGTTCCTTAGCCAAACGTCAGTGGTCCATGCTTGTAATCCTAAGTACTCTGGAGGCTGATATCTGAAGATTGGCAGTTCAAAGCCAGCCAAAAGCAGGAAAGTCTGAGGCTCTTACTTCTAATAACCATCAAAGAGTCATAAATGGAGCTGTGGATCAATTGTCAAAGCACTAGCCTTGAACATAAAAGCTCAGAGACAGTGTCCAGCCCCTGAGTTCAAGCACTAGAACTAGAACCAAAATCAATCAATCAATCAATCAAGTCCTTCCCTCAGTAATTTTTCACTGGATTTCAAGAAAGTCTTTTGAATTTTGGTGTATTCAATTTCTTAGTAATAAGTAATATCTTTCCCAACAGCCAAAAGACTAGTCCTGAGGCAATTATATATTCATGGTAAATACAGATCTTGTACCTATCTAATGTCTAAGTATGTTCTGGTAAAAATAATAAAGAAATACAAATAAAGTAATAATAAAAGAGAAACCAATTCTTGTAATCCTGACTACTTGGGGGCTGAATGGGAGGACTGAGGTTTGAGGACGGCCCAGGCAGAAGAGGTCATAAGACCTCTTCTCTACACACAGCAGGGCTCAGTGGTATGTGTCTGTTATCCTAAACCACATGTGGCTGGGATCAGAAGGATCAGAGAGTTCTAGGCTATCCTGAAGATAAAAATCTGAAGACTACATCTTCAGGAGGAAAGCAGAGCACAGTGACGCATGATCCTAGCAATGATAGGAAGTGGCACTGTGGCTCAAGTGGTAGAGCGCTAGCCTTGAGCTGAAGAGCTGAGGGACAGCGCCCAGGCCCAGAGTTCAGGCCCCACGACCGGACCTCCCCCCCCCCTTCAAAAACTATCTTCAAATACATCTTAAATTATCATATACCATTTGTGAAGTATCCAAAGAAATTATTGTTCTTGTCTCATCTGCAGGACACATTAGGCCATATGAAACACTTGTTCCTCCTGCCAAAATAAAAGACAACTATTTTACTTAAATATTTTACTTAAACTATGTTTTAAGGGCAAATCTCTAATTTAGACTACGCAGTGAGGCTGCCTAAGAAATGAGGTCTATTTCTACTTTACAAAATATGATTTGCAAATGCTAACACACTAAAAGTAAACTTATCTTTCTTTCATGCTGAATGCCATAATGATGCAATATTATATGGCTCCATCCCCTGGTCATGACATACTTAAAGTGAAGCTCCTAACAATTTGTAGAACTCCAAAAATATAATTAGAAAAGTTCTAAGCTGGGGCTGGGAAGGTGGCTCAGTGGTAGAGTGTTTGCCTTGCATGCATGAGGTCCTGGGTTCAATTCCTCAGCATCACATAAGCAGAAAAAGCCGGAAGTGGTGCTGTGGCTCAAGTGGTAGAGCACTAGCCTTGAGCTGAAGAGCTGAGGGACAGTGCCCAGGCCCAGAGTTCAGGCCCCATGACCGACAAAAAAGAAAAAAAAGAAAGAAAGAAAGAAAAAAAGAAAAAAAAGAAAATGTCTAGATTAGGTGATATTTAAGAACAAAGTTACAAATTCTCTGGCGAAAAAGTGATTTTAAAATACAATGTGTAATACATAGAAGTATCTATCTTTTTGTGTTGTTGTTGGCTGTGGGGCTTGAACTCCGGGCCTGGGCGCTGTCCCTCAGCTCTTCAGCTCAAGGCTCATGCTCTACCACTTGAGCCACAGTGCCACTTCTGGTTTTTTCTGTTTATGTGGTGCTGAGGAATTGAACCCAGGGCCTCATGCATGCAAGGCAAGCACTATACCACTAAGCCACGCTCAGCCCCTAGAAGTATTTAAACCATATACTGTTTTATTGCTTTCTCTCTCTCTCTCTCTTTTTTAAATGGTTGGTCGTGGAACTTGAACTCTGGGCCTGGACACTGCCCCTTCAGCTCCTTAGCTCAAGGTGAGTACCCTACCATTTGAGCTACAGTGCTACTTCCAGTTTTCTGGTGGTTTTCTGCCCAGGCTGGCTTTAAACCACAATCCTCAGACCTCAGCCACCTGAGTAGCTAAGATCACATGTATAAGCCACTGGTTGCCTGGCTTGCTGCTTTCTCTTTGTTGTCAAAAGCAAAATGTTTTCTTAATATAAGTAAGAATATTTTACAGTCTTAGCTAGACCTATATCATCCTACAGCAAATATAATAATACTAATTGGAATTTCATGCATTTTACTACTTATGATGTCACCTATCATAAGTAGTATAGAAGTGATCTGTATGGATCGTATTAATTTCAGAAGGTAAGATAATGAACATCAGCTACAAACAAAATGCCTGTGATAAGTAACCATTACTTGCTTGTCTTACCATCTAAAATACAATATTTTATCGCAAGTAGCATCATTGTGCCTTTTTGAATGAATTCAATATATAGTACTAGCTGTGGGAGTAGAGTTTCTGAAATAATGAACATCCATTTCCTTTCATTCTATCAATGCCAAATTGTTGAGTGAAAGTGATTTCCTTTGGTTTGTGTAAATAGTTAAAAATATCATAAATAAAAGATCAAAAGAGATCAAATTCACTTAAAAATACAAAACAACACTGAGTGCAATGCTAATTCAAGTAGCTATTTCAGAGACAAAGACAGGAAGAACGCAGGTTTAAGAAAAAATGTTCCAGGACCCTTTCTCAACAACAAAGCCCAGAATGGTGACCATATTCATAATCTCAGCTACACAGGAGTATAAATAAGTAGGAGGATTGTGGCCCAAGGCCAAAGCAAAAACTCAAAACTCTATCTGAAAAATAAACAAAACAAAAAGAGTTGGAGACATGGCTCAAGTACTGAAGAGCTTACCTCGCAATTATTAGGCCTTAAGTTCAAACCCTAGACCATCAAAAACAAACAATAACAATGAAACAATGCAAAACAATGTTTTCTATATTGGAAGATACTGATTTAGTCATCATTATATTGATGATATCTTAGGTTGCACTGCGTATAATGATTACTCTGCTCTCAAATATTTACATTTGGTATATTTATATTTTATCTTTGAAAATTTAAATGCTTCTAGATGCTGGCAGCTCCTGCCTATAATCCTAGCTACTGAGGAAGCTGAGATCTGAGGATCACAATTTGAAGCCATCCCGCAGAAAAGTCTATGATGCTCTTATCTCTCAATTAGTACCAAAAAAGCCAGAAGTGGAGCTGTGGCTCAAGTGGTAGAGTGCTAGCCTTTAGCAAAAAAGCTTAGGACAGTATCTAGGCCCAGAGTTCAAGCCACAGGATCCACACCAAAATAAACAAACAAACACACACCAAGAAAATGCTAGGTCAGAAAATAACTAGTAACACAGGAACATTTTCTTATTTAGTCATCACATCACAGCTTCAAATATGATCTCGTAATAAGCCATGAATTAAGAGTAAACTAAGTCTCAGTTTAGGAAGATCTACTGTTACAGAAATGAAAATGATAAGCCAATTTTTGAAAATAAACGTAACTATAAGAATGTTTCAGGCTGGGAAGGTGGCTCAGTGGTTAGAGCGCTTGCCTTGCATGCCTGAGGCCCTGGGTTCGATTCTTCAGCACCACATAAGCAAAAAGAAAAAAGCCAGAAGTGGCGCTATGGCTCAAGTGGTAGAGCGCTAGCCTTGAGCTGAAGAGCTGAGGGACAGCGCCCAGGCCCAGAGTTCAGGCCCCACGACCAGACAAAAAAAAATAAAAATAAAAAAAAAAAGAATGTTTGTTTCCAAGAGATACAAGAATGTTTAAAATACAAGTATTTAAAATACAATAATTTACATCATATTAAAATTTGAAAGCACAATACTTACCACCAATTGGTATGATACAAAGGTTATATTTGCATGCTAGATTCACAATCTTAACTACATCATCATGACACACTGTTGAAAAAAAAAAGAAAAATAAATTGATAGGCATATTAACTCTGGTTACCTTAGGAAATGAGGATTTACAGTTCTTTAACATCTGAACTTTTCCTTTGTTTATTCACTTATTAACATATTAACTAGCTATATTAAAAGTTGGATTCCAGCCGGGTGCCAGTAGCTCACGCCTGTAAATCCTAGCTACTCAGGAGGCTGAGATCTGAGAATCACGGTTCAAAGCCAGCCTGGGCAGGAAACTCCATGAGACTCTTATCTCCAATAAACCACTAGAAAACCGGAAGTGGTGCTGTGGCTCAAACAGTAGAGTGCTCGCCTTGAGCTGAAGAGTACAGGGACAGCGCCCAAGCCCAGAGTTCAAGCCCCACAACCAACCCCCCCCCCCCAAAAAAAAAGTTAGATTCCTTCCAACTTTTTATTTTTAAATAATTTCAAACATACATTACCACTGTAATTACATAATTCCAGTCTAAAGCAAAACCAAACAATTAACATTGACATAAAACAATGAGCAAACCTACAGACCTCACTCTAATGTCTCCTTTTCTATCCCACAGTCTAATCCAAGATCACACACTGAATTGAGTTGTCATGGTTTCTTAGTCTTAAGGTAGACCTTTCCTAAGTCTTTGACTTTGATGGCAATGGTATTTTTGAACCCTGGTCAGTTACTTCATAGAATATCCCTCAGTTTGACGTTGTATATGTTCCCTCACAAATCTTTGCAAAGATGCTGCAGGAATAAGTGCTAGGCTTTTCTCAACATGATGTGGCAATTGACATATTTCATTTCTAATGTCCTCTTTGATAGTTTGATTTGGTAGTATTTGCTAGGTTTCTCCATCAAAATGATACTATATTTTCTCTTGAAATTAATATCCTTAGATTATGTAAACAGAACGTTTCCTTTCATACTTCACCCCTTAAGTTTGCTCTTTTTCTTTCCCCACACTGGAGCTAACACCGAGGGACTTGCACATGCTAGACAAGTGCTCTACTACTTGAGCTATCCCTTTTCTAGACCCCATCAATGATTCTATATTCTGTCTGAAATTCTTTGGTGCTGGTCTTTGGGCTTGAACTTAGGGCCTTGGTGCTGTTCCTGAGTGCCTGCCACTCTCAGCTGTTTTGGTGCTTAACTGGAGATAGGAGTCTCTTTGATCCTCAGATCTCAGCCTCTTGAGTAGCTAGGATTATAGGTGTGAATCACAAGTGTCCAGTCCTTGTTCTGTTTTTTAACAAACAAAATTTTTACATAAAATAGACTAGCACATGAATTTCTATTGTATGTAGCTGGAAGGTTCTCTACCAGTGTCAGTTATATTACTACTAGGAAAGTGAAGTACATGAATAACTATCTGTCCAAACTAAAAATATTCACAGGGTATAAAGGTCACAAGTGGTAAAAATCCTGATTAAGAATAACCCCAAATCAGAGAAGTTATATGTTATTATAAATTCTTACTTTAAACATCAGATACTCTAATAAAGCAAGATGCAGAATTTTGATTCAGACTGAACAGATTTAAAGACAAGTATAATGATAGATTTCTTTTGCAGCTCTTAAATTACAAACTGAGATCAGATACCTCGGGAATCCGTTCCAAACTGTTTTATCACTCAAAGCCCATGGCCCTAAATTATGACATTTTCTCAAAGCTTATCCTCATCATATTAAATCAACAGGAAATTTACATTAAAGTTGAATTAAGGCCTCAATGAACTGATAATATGTTGAGAAACTATTTCAAAGAAGTCCTTAAAATAACCCTAAGATTCTGCAAAATTTACAAATTGCATTCATCCAGAAATGTAACATTCATGTATATTTTTAAAGTGTAAAACAAAATGACAAAGGAATTTTTTCACTAGAATTTGCTTCTCAAATATGTACAGGAAGCTTAAAAGGTCAAGAAAATATTAAGATGCCAAGTATTGATGGCTCATGTCTATATATTCTAGCTACTTGCTGGCTGAGAGCAGTAGCATCAAGGTTCAAGCCACTTTGATAGAAAAGAACAAAAAATTCCTCAAAGCCCTCGTTCAAAAACAAAATAAAACACAAAAAGTAGGGCTGAAGATGTGTAGTTCATGAACAGCTTAGCAACTACAAGGCCAAGAATCCAGTACCACCAAGAAGGAAGCCAGGGAAGGGAGGAAGAAGAGGAGAGAAAGGAGGGGATGGGAGGGAAGAGAAGGAGATAGGGTAAGTTCAAGTAAGAGGAAAAAAGGGAAATTAGGATGGGAGGGAGGGAGGGAATGGTAGGAATAAAAATAGTTAAAGTCATTGCAAAAACACAGTTAAGTACTGCTAAGAAACTAAATTGGAATGGAAAGGGGAAAATAAAAAGAAGGGTAAAGGTGAGAGGAAATAACAATAACCAAATGGAAATTATTTTTTAAATTTAAAAAAAAACTTGTGTAATATTTGATAAACTTGTTTCCTTAGTCTGTTCTTAAACATTTAGATATCTTAAAGCAAAACACAAACTCCCTTTATAGTATTTATTCTCTCAACATTTTAACATTCAAACATGAAGTAAATCAATAAAGAGCACAAGTAAAAGTTTTTTCATGTGTTGAAAGAGGTCTATTTACTACTTATACTATTTAAAGTTTCCAAAGGTACTGAAAATTGATGGATCTTTGCCTTCTGTTTTTTAGTAAGATGGTATCAAATCCTGGTAGAGAAGTAGCCTAAAGCTACTTAAAAATTGGTACGCAAAACAATTTTTTTTCTATTGAGATAGCTCTTTTTTTCTTACAAATAAATTGCTATGCTAACAGAAACAAAGGAATTATTTCATAACTAGAGATAGACAAGAGACTATATATCCTAAGTATCAGGAAACTAATCTCTGCTCTATATGCTCTAGGAATTTCCTGCTGTATATCTCACCTCCACTCTTAACACCATATGAATACATAATTTTCCCTTCAGATAGTCCTTGCAAAGGAGAAAGATATTATCTAGGACCTGACTATCCATGAATGAGCCGATGTTTTGAAAATTAAAATCCAAAGAGCAAAACAAGTTTTAAAAAAATCAATAGAGCCGGGCGCTGGTGGCTCACGCCTGTAATCCTAGCTACTCAGGAGGCTGAGATCTGAGGATCGCGGTTCAAAGCCAGCCCGGGCAGGAGAGACCGTGAGACTCTTATCTCCAATAAACCACCAGAAAACCGGAAGTGGCGCTGTAGCTCAAGTGGTAGAGCGCTCGCCTTGAGCTGAAGAGCTGAGGGACAGCGCCCAGGCCCAGAGTTCAAGCCCCACGACCGACAAAAAAAAAAAAAAAAAATCAATAGAACTTTCAAAAGATGCAGTCTTGGACAGCAAAAAACAATGTAGTTGTCCTGACTTAAACTATCTGGTAACAGAAACAGATTAAAACAAGAACAGCCATGAAAAAGATGTGTGCCTAAACCTTATTGGGGTAAGCTCCTGCATCTTCTATCCTAAGCCAAACATAAATAATTTCTCAAAACATCCATGTCTGTGTATGTACATACAAATAATATATCGTAGCTGGGCACTGGTGGCTCACGCCTGTAATCCTAGCTACTCAGGAGGCTGAGATCTGAGGATCGCGGTTCAAAGCCAGCCTGGGCAGGAAAGTTCGTGAGACTCTTATCTCCAATAAACAGCTAGAAAACCAGAAATGGTGCTGTGGCTCAAGTGGTAGAGCGCTCACCTTGAGCTGAAGGCTCAGGACAGCGCCCAAGCCCAGAGTTCAAGCCCCGTGACAAAAAAAAAAAAAAAAAAAATAATACATCGTGGAATAACTTGTTTTACCATTTACCCATGGTTTTTACCCCGTAACTTAATTCAAATTGTTGCTATTATTATTTTTATAGTAGCCAGCTCTGTCAATTAATAATTTCTACATCAGAATATACCACTGAGAGATAATAATTTCACTAATAATAATTTCACTTCCAAATTAAAATGGCATGTTAGTGATTTCTAAATATAATTACTTCCATGTACAATGAAGAGTTAATCATCATCAATAGATGCAGCCCTTAAAACAGTTCAGGACAATCAGATCAAGAAATAGTTTCATGACATTTATATTTTTTTATATTTTTTACAACTCATGTTTAAAAGCAATATTTCCAATACTAAATTTATTTAAGATTTAATAATAGTAAATTAATGATGCAGAGAGGTAAAATAACTTACTTGGCCATACAACTATATCAGGAATTCGTTGAAGCATTCCTTCCCTGAGCAAAAATATTTCATGAAGACAATGACCTGTTAGGTGATTTAAAAAGAAAAGTGCAGAAATATCGTAAATGAGAGTAAAAATTCAAATTGATAAACTATTTTGTTAAATAGCAACTTCTTTGTAAACTATGTAAAAATAATTTTAAAAAGAACATGCAACCTTCTCAATCTTTTCCAAAACAAAACAAAAAAAGTAAACAGTATTGATATAAAATGGCTTACCATGAGCTCTAAATACTCGGTCATCTGCCTCTTGTGAATATGAAATATTGGTTTCTTTAAGTTCATAAAGAAAATCTTCATTTACAATAGATGGAGGTGCATCACTAGGATTCAAAGATGCCTAGAAAATATTTTTTTTATTTTTGCTTATTTGTAAAAAGTAAATTTTGAATACCTCAGTTAAAAAGAATGACTATGAAATGTACATTTTTCTCCTTCCGCATCCTAAGTTAGACAAATTCAGAAACAAAGTTTATGAAAGTAGCAAATTGCCTGGCTAATCACATTCTATAACCTAAATCAGTTTCCTCTTTACTTGTATTTGCATTCCCCACAATCAAAAATAGGGAAGCCTCAAATCTTCAGTTTAGACCAAGGAAACTGGAAAGAAGCTACTTATTTTTGAACTATATACATTTTCCTGAACTAAATACATTTTCTTTAATGACAACTTCAGAATGATAAAAAAAATTAAAACAATCAACAAAAAGTATTAGAGTAAGTATAAAACCAATGTTACAGAACTATTTTAAAACTTAGTCATGCAGCGCTCCATAACTCATACCTGTAATCCCAGAAGAAATTCAGAGAATAATACCAGCCCACCAAAAAAAAATTAGCAAGACCTTTATTTTACTTAATAAGTTGGCATTGTGGTATACTGTACACTTATGGTCCCAACTATACAGAAGACTATAGGTAAGAGAATCACAATTAGGCCAGGCTTGAGCAAAAATGTAAGATCCTACCTGAAAATAACTAAAGCAAAAATGTGGTTCAGGTGACTTGCCTAGAGACCCTGGCTAGCAAGTGTAAACTGTCCATTCAAACCTCTGTACTATCAAGAAAAAAAAAAGAAAGAAAAAAATATATACATAAACTTGATACTAATTTACAAGTATATTGAATGGTAATTTTCAGCTTTAAATTTAAAACTATGTGACACTGAGCCTGTCAGTTGCTCATGTCTGTAATCCTAGCTACTCAGGAGGCTAAGGATGACAGTTCAAAGCCAGCCCAAGCAGGAAAGTCCATGAGCCTCTTATCTCCAATAAGCAACTCAGAAAAAGCTGGAAGTGGTACTGTTGCTCAAGAGGTAGAGCACTAGCCTTGAGCACAGAGAGGCTCAGGAACAGAGCCCACGCCCTGAGTTCAAGCCCCAAAGACCAACCCCCACTCCACCCCCCAAAAAAACAAAACCACAAATAAAAACTATGTGACACATTATCTTGCCCATGTAATTGTAATCCCTCTGTACAGTATGTTCACAAAAAAAAAAAAAAAAAACAAAACTATGTGACACTGGGTATGTCATTCAACTTCTGTGAGCCTTAGCTTCTCAATCCGTTAAATGATATTATCACTACCAAATGTGTAGGACTATTGTTAAGGGGAGAAGCTCAAACATGCCAATTTTTGTTAAAAAAAATTGTATGCCTAGCATATTAAATCTGATATAGAAGAAAAGCTGTAATACAGTATTTCAGAAAAAGAATGTACAAGAATATGTGAAAAAAAAAATTCTATGATACCAGGCACAATGGCTCAAGCCTGTAATCCTAGCCATATAGAAGGTAGAGATCAAGGGATCAAGATATAAGGCCATATCAGGATAGGAAAAAAAAAAAAGTTCATGAGATTTCCTGTCTCATTCAATGGATGGACAGATGACTGGGACTTGTTATCCTAGCTCTGAGAAAAGCACAGTGGTTGTGCAAAATGGTACAGGCCTGTCATTTGTCATTCACAGTAACATGGGGAAGCATAAGTAGGAAGATTGCAGCATAGGCTAGCCAGGGCATGGAAGGCTTTGCTTTGAAAACAACCAATCAAAAAAGTCCTGGATCACAGAAGCAGATGGCTCAGGGCTATAATCCTGCTATTCAAGAAGCTGAGAGGAGAGGATCAAAATTCGAAGCCAGTCTGGATAGGAAAATCTGTGAGACTCTGATCACCAATCAATCTTCAAAAAGTTAGAAGTGAAGCTGTGGCTCAAGTAACATGGCACTAGCTTTAAGCAAAAGAGCTTGGAACAGAACCTAGGCCCTGAGTTCAAGTCCTAATAAACAAACACAGACATATCCCACAAAAATGACCTGGAAACATGGTTCAAGTGATAGAGCACTAGCAAACATGAGGCCCTGAGTTCAATCCCAATATTGCCAGAAAGAAGAAAGAAAAAAAAAGAGAGAAAGAAAGAGAGAAAGTCATACATGTTATGTCTATACTCTCTTATTAAGATAATTAAGATCATATAATACTGGATGGCTCCTATAAATCAGGTACTATCCTAAGCATGGAGATACAGCAGTGAATTAAACATAAAATAAGTTTGACCTCATGAAATTTATCCTACAGTAGAAGGGAAATAACCAAAAGAACTCTAAAAAAATGTATTATTATTTTCAGTTACAAAAACTGAAAGACAATCAAATGTAGAAAAGTGGGTATATACTTAAAACTAACAAAAATTTTGAAGACGGCAACTGTAAGAATGTAAAAAAAATCACAAATAGTTGAGAAAGAAAAAATTTAAGAGATGAAAAAGACAAGAAAAGTTCAAAGAATGGGTAAGAAACTAGTTGCTCGGTCTAATTTATTTACAAGAATACAACAACTAGATTTCTAAATCTAGCTGTCTAAACTAAATAAAAATCTAAATTTCTAAATAAATCTAACAGTATTGAACCGAACACCAACACTTAATAATATGCTGTAGGCAATGGTGAATATTGTATAGGACACAGCCTCCAACTTTTAGATTTATATTCAGCTGAAACAATATGAAAAATACAATGTGGAATAATATGAAAAGTATAGCAAAATAACAAAAAGTAATATTAATATGTAAAGAAATGCCAGATATTTTTAAAGTTTCATTTCTGTATACTTGAAAGAGTTTGGGATTTTTTTACTGATTTTTTTTTTCTGTATTCTAGGCTGGCCTCAATATCCTGATCTCCTGCCTCTGCTTCTTCAATGTTGAGGTGACAGGCATAAGATACCATGCCCAGTTCAGTTCAGCTTTTTAATCTCACTTCTGATATTCAAAGCCACATAAACAAATTAAAATCTCTACCATTTATACAAATTTTACTTTATGTAATTCTCTATACTCTTGAAGTTCTAACATTAAATGTAACATTATATTTTTATGTTAAATTATTTCACATTTACTCCAGATTGTGGTCAATTATTTACAAATAAGTCTATTATCTAAAAGAACAGCCACTTACATTTTTGTAACAAAGTGCTCTCATAATTTCTCTCCACTATTACCTTGTAAGAGGTACAGCAGGTTTTACCTCTACTTCTCAAATTGAAATTATCAAGGCTCAGATAAAACATGCTCCTAGAAATCCTAACATGGCCAATATAATTACAACACTTCACCATAATAAAAATGTGAAACTATGTATTAAAGCAACTGTAAGAAATTACAGACAACTCTAATTAATTTGAGATTTTTAAAAAAATCACAGTGAAGTTATTATTATGTGCTTACTTTAGAGGTAGTTCTATGTTCCCAATATATTCCAAGGTTAGTCTGGACCCATTCTCTAAAAGATGGTAAAACCATGCCACTAAGAGGGTACCTAAGGTACAAAGAAGATAAATTATTAGAGCAAGGTATCTTCTTGAAAATATGAGTGCAAAGTATATTCTGCTTCTTGAAATGGTCAAAAAACTATCAACCCAACTATTTCCCATATATAACTACAAACTCAGGACAAAAACAAACAACAAGCTGCTGGTCGCCATTGGCTCACACCTGTAATCCCAGCTACTCAAGAGGCTGAGATCTGAGGACTGTGGTTCAATGTCAGCCTGCGCAGGAAAGTCTGTTAACTCTTATCTCCAATTAAATCATAGAAAAAGCTGCAAGTGGCACTGTGTCTCAAGTGGTAGCATACTAGCCTTGAGCAAAAGAAGCTCAGGAACAAAAATGCCCAGGCCAAGTTCAAGCCTCAGGACCAGCCAAAAAAAAGGCAAGGCAATATATATAGACCAAAAACAGGCAAAAAGTAGAGGAACCAGGCATATTGTATTTGGAAGAAGGAGGAAAACATTACTTAAGTTTCTACTTTTGTTTTGGTTTTTTGTTAGGATTTTAACTAGAGGGAGAGCTCCAGCTGGTGCCCAAAAGGTAACAAAAATACTGACAAGCTACCCATCCTTCTAGCTTGAAGAACCAAGAGAGAGAGGATTGAAAACAGCAGCTAGAAAGCACACACATGAAATAAGGACTTTTAACACTGGCAGAATGTCTAAATGATTCTCAATTACACATGTAATATGTTAATGGTGCCCAAACAACAATTACATTGTTCACTGAAACAGAGACAGATGAACAGATTTTGGAGTTTGAAATCAGGCCTGGAGTTAAAATCAGGCTTGATTTTAATGAAACAAAACTCAGAGAGAAAGCTTCCTTAGAGGAATAACAGAATCAAGTATCACAACAGCCAAGATACTCCAAAATAACAAGGCATGAACAATGTGTGATCCATAATCAAAGAGAAGGGGCAATTAATGACTGACTCAAAGATAACTCAAGATAAAAGTAGCACAGAATGATTTTAAATTAGCTATATTAATTATAACGGAAAAAAAATGTTGCCCCCGCCCCACTGAGTAACAATAGTCTCAATAGAAAAACAAAAATTAGCAGGGCACCGGTAGCTCATGCCTGTAATCCTAGCTACTCAGGAGGCTGAGATCTGAGGATCGCGGTTCAAAGCCAGCCCAGGCAGGAAAGTCCATGAGACTCTTATCTCCAATAAACCACTGGAAAACCGGAAGTGGCACTATGGCTCAAGTAGTAGAGCGCTTGTCTTGAGCTGAAGAGTGCAGGGACAGCGCCCAAGCCCAGAGTTCAAGCCCCCCGACCAACCAAAAAAAAAGAAAGAAAAACAAAAATTATTAAATTTCATTAATTACCGTGTGACTGAGCCTCTTGTCCACTTAGTTTTGCTGTTTTGTTGCCAGCTCAAGTTTGTGAAACATGTTTCTATTGAGATTTTTTTTGGTTTGTTTGTGTTGCCAGTCCTGGGGCTTGAACTCTGGGCCTGGGCACTATCCTTTGTTGTAAGGTAAATCATCCCAGAAGCCACATTTTAAAATACAGAATATTGGAGTCTTTATTATATACTAACAGGCTGCAGGCCACCAGTGGTTACAAAAGCCTGCAATGTGCAAATACACATAACCCAGCTAGGGAACACGCTAAAGAGGAAAGAAATAACAATACCAACAAGCCAATTCAGCTCCAATGGAGAGCTGAACTGGGACTCCTTGATGACTGGAAACAAGCCAGGAGACAGGACACAGGATAGGATCACGGAGACAACACATAGCATGGAGTCCAGCGGCTAGGCTGGTCCCGGCCTAAATAGGTCAGCAGGGGACAGATCCTCAGAAAATTCCCAGTCCCAGGCACTAGGCTGACAGATTCAGTAACCTATCTGCCAAGTGCCTGCCCCTGCCTCTAGGGGTGCCCATTATCTGGGAGGCAGGGGATGGGGGAGCGGGGAGGGTTCCTTCTCCCAGCATGAAGAAAAGATGTCAGACTCTACAATATGGCCAATATGGCGCCAGCCAGACCTGGCCTCCTTACTTCACCCTGACCTTCTTTTGCTCAAGGCTAGCACTACACACACACAGTGAGAATTCTGGCTTTTTTGAGTAGCTTATTGGAGATAAACTACTCAGAGACTTTCCTGCCTGGTTTGGCTTCTAATTGCAATTCTCAGATCTCTGCCTCCTGAGTAGCTAGGATTATATGTGTGAGCCACTAGCATCTGGTTCTACTGAGTTACTATAGAGCTGATATTAAACAATCTCTTTGTGATTTATGTTTTTCATTCTCATGTTTTTTGATAAAAATAAATTTTATATTTTAATTTTGCTTTTTTTTGGTGGCATGGGGGCTTGAACTCAGGGACTTGTTTTTACTAGACAGATAAGATACTCTACCACTTGAGCAATACCTCCAGCTAGTTAATAATTCTCCAAGTGAATTATAAAACTGATTTCTTTGGCAGTATTAGGGTTTGAACTCAGGGACTTAAAACTTCCTGGGTGTGCCTTTTAACACGCTATTCAACCCTTCCTGCTTTATTTTTCAGATAAGGTCTTGTGTAAGCCTCAGACCATGACACTCTTACTTTACCTTTGTTCTCTCAGAGCTAGGATTCCAGGCATAAACCACAACACCTAGTTTATTATTTAGGGTGTGTGTGTGGAGGGGGAGGGAGGGCCAGCAGACATGGTGGTCCTGAGGCTTCAACTCTGAGCTCACACCAATTGCTCACACCAATGCTTCACTTCATTTTTTTGGTGGTTAATTGATAAGTCTTTGTAGACTTTCCTTTCCAGGCTGGCTTTACATTGAGATAGTCAGAACTCAGCCTCTTGAACAGTTAGTATTACAGGCATGAGCACATCAGCACCTGACTCCCAGTTTATTTTTTGAAATAGGGTCTAAATAACTTTTTGCCCTAGAATACTTCAAATAGCAATCCACCACTCCCATAATCCAAATAGCTGGGATTGCAGGTATGTACCACCTATGTAATCTCAGCCTCTTCCATTTTCATATATTGACGTGTGCCTTTAATCTTAGCATATTAATGCCTTATATATATATATATATCATATATATATCAAATCAAAGTGAATACTAGAATAAATTCACAATATTATCAAATCCAAATTTTTCCTCAGTCTGAATTTTGAATTAATTTTTTAGAGCCAGAGTTCAAATATTGCCTATTGGTACTCATTCTTTTTTCAAAGTTCTATTAAAATTCAATAAACAAAAACTAAGATATCCCTTCACAATTCTGTCCAGAAAACAAACATTCTTCAAATTCTTTAAGTTTTCACAGTTCTATTGAGACATGAATAGCCTTTATAATTCTTATCAACACATTAACAAAACCATCTCAGAAATGTAAAAGCTATCATACAAATGACTGATCTCTTCTATGTTTTTCCAATTATACCTCAGAAGCTAATTTTTTTAATTCTGTTTATATTCACACAGACCTAAAATTGTAGTCCTCTATTATTTCCCATACTTCAATGTAAATTACCAATTCTATATATCAAATTACTTTCGATAAATCAATGCCATGAAGACTGGGTGTCAGGGTGACTGTAGATTCTGAAAGATTACTTTCATCAAAATCCATAACTCAATTCAAACAAGTTGCTTATTAAAGACAACTGTGAGATAACTGGGCAATATGGATTAAATATGGTCTCAAATAATCAGATATTATAAAAATGTTTGTTATTGTGGAATTATGTTAACAGTCAAACATAACCAATATTCAGGAGGCCTTGACTAGCAAGACCCCATTTGAGTTCCTGTGTGCCGTGAGGGTGCATGCTGGCATGCATTCCTCTGGAGGATAAGAGGGACGTCCCTTCCTCCAAGCTGGCAAAGATCCTGCACCTGGTGCCAGGCTCCAGTGGTGTTTTTCAGGATATACCATTTGTGCTCCTCCTAGTTAATTGTGTATCAAGATTCCTTTTGTGTTCTTCTAAATAGATCCTCACATGCACCTTACTTCATCTTTTGTTGCCCTGAATGACTCTTTTCAGTCACAGATTAAAAATTGCTAATCCAGCCGGGCACTGGTGGCTCACGCCTGTAATCCTAGCTACTCAGGAGGCTGAGATCTGAGGATCACGGTTCAAAGCCAGCCCGGGCAGGAGAGACCGGGAGACTCCTATCTCCAATAAACCACCAGAAAACTGGAAGTGGCGCTGTAGCTCAGGTGGTAGAGCGCTCGCCTTGAGCTGAAGAGCTGAGGGACAGAGCCCAGGCCCAGAGTTCAAGCCCCACGACCGACAAAAAAAAAAAAAAAGTTGCTAATCCTCCATATCCCCCAAGAGTTGTTTACCTTCAAGATGTTTACTTCCAAGTTGTTTTCCTTCAAGCTGTTTACCTTCCTGTCCTGGGATTGGCCTGACTATAGCCTTGCCTTCTATGCCCCTATGCCCTGTATAAGTACATGATGTTTCAATAAGCTTTGTCTATACATGCATGGTATGGTCTCTTTCTGCCTACCAGATACCGAGTTCCCATAAGTACATGATGTTTCAATAAGCTTTGTCTATACATGCATGGTATGGTCTCTTTCTGCCTACCAGATACCGAGTTCCCGGGTCTCACTGTGTGAACAGCAACAAGGAGGTATATATTTATTTAGAAGGGTCATGACAATTTCAGAATTAAAAATAATATAAAAAAATGGGTGGGAAAGGCAGGAAGTGACAGAGGGGGTAAGATTAACTGGAATATATTGTAAATACACAATATATGTAATAATTAAAATTATCCCCTCCCCCCCTTAGCTAAGCTAAGTTAGGAAAATAAAAAACCTACAGAAGGGTCTGGGAAGGTGGTTGCCTTGAATGCATGAGGCCCTGGGTTCAATTCCTCAGTACCACATAAGCAGAAAAAGCTGGAAGTGGTGCTGTGACTCAAGTGGTAGGGCTCTAGTCTTGAGCTGAAGAGCTGAGGGACAGCGCCCAGGCTCCACGACCATCAAAAAAAAAACCTACAGAAAAAGAAAGGGAATTGCTACGTGCTGATGTCTCATGCCTATAATCCTACTCACTCAGGAGGCTGAGATAAGAGGATGTTGATTCTAAACCAGCCCAAGCAGGAATAATTATAAGACTCTTTTCTCCAAATAACCACCAAAAAGCCAGAAGTGCTAGCTTTGAGCAAAAAAAGCAAGAGACAGCCCCAGAACCTGAGTCCAAGACTGGCACACACACAAAAAAAATAGCAATTATGACAAAATGTTAATAATTTTTAAATTGGAGGAAAAATTATTACATTATCCTTTCTATTTTTATGTATGTTTAAAATATTCCTGTAGAACAAGGGGAAAGAACCAAAAAAAATGTGTTACCTTTTCCCAGCTAATTCAACCTGGCCCTTCTTATTGAGGAAGAACTTAGAATCATTATATCCCCATCCATTCCATTTCATAACTTCTTGCCTAAAAAGAAAGGAAAAAAATACATAAGATCTATGCTAAACATTTCAAAACTGAACAGTATGAATAAACTTCCAAACTCATTTAAAAGACCTTATGCCTGATAATACAGTATCACTTTAAATGAATACAAATTAAAACATGGGAACATTACTATTTTTAAATACAGAATCACTGTGATGAATTAGCATGTAGCATCATACATGCTACATAGAGAACTACACCAATAAATATGCCTTTAAAAAAAAGACTCGAATGAGAATGGAAGAAGTGCTTAAGAGTATGAATATAGTTCATCTTGTACACTACTGAGTTTAAATTGTAGAATGTACCCTAGCATGTGCAAGTTCTTGGGTTCAGTCTCCTAAATTTCAAATATATAAACTGTAAGGTATCTTGAGAAGCTCTCGATTAAAACTAATAATTCAGGTGAACTAGGCACAAGTTGCTCAAACTTGTAATCCTAGCTACACAGGAGGCTGAAATCTGAGGATCACAGTTCGAAGTCAGCCTGGGCATAAAATCTGTGAGACTCTTATCTCCAATTAACCATCAAAAAGCCTGAAACATGGAGATATGGAGTAAGTGGTAAAGTGATAGCCTTGTGCAAAAAAGCTAAGAAGCAGTATCCAGGCCTTGAGTTCAATCCCTAGGACCAGCAAAAAGAGAGAGAAAGAGAGGTCAAAGCTACTTAGTGAGATCCTAAATCGAAATATTATTTTTATAGGTTCTTTTTTAAATTTTATTTTATTGTAAAGATGCTGTACAGAGGGTTTCAGGTACATGAATAAGGTAATGAGTACATTGTCGAGCATTGTAAACATCCCCCTTGTTTTTCTCCTACAATCCCTTCACTCCCCTGGCTCCCCCACCCAAGTTGTAAAGTTCATTTCCAACAGTGTCTTGTGAGTCTTATTGTTGCAAACGGTCATACTGTGTGCTTGTTTCAGCATTTTGTTATTCCCCTTCCCCTCCCCAAATTAGGTAAATATATATACAAGATGCAGGGTACCAAAATCAAATACAGTGACAAAATATTACTTTTTAAAAATAAAAATATTAATGTTGGGTTCTTAAACTTCTACTTCCGTTAAACTATCAATCTCTACCTTCACCTGTACATCCTAATAGTTAATAACTAAGCAACTTTTCAATATTCCAAACAAGGTTCTATTTTTAATTTCTAAAATGTTAACATTTCATAGTTTTAAAGATTACTTCAATCAAACTCCATAATAACTCAATCATTCAATTTTGCACATTACACAAGAAATATGTAAGCCTGTGCCTGGCAACCACACTCAAATGGAGTGTTAGTATTTATCATGTTTCACCACAGTATCCTACTGTGATCTTTGGCTCAGCACTAAATCCATAATAAATCTTCCTACTGCTCATTTAGTCATGTGGTTTATGATGAAAATAACTTGATCAAAACTGTTCTTTAGCCAGAAGATTATTTAATTCATTAAAATTTCAACACAAATTTGTTGGCACACGCCACTACTCAGCTAAAGAACTCATCTCCTGGGGCTGGGAAGGTGGCTCGGTGGTAGAGCACTTGCCTTGCATGCCTGAGGCTGTGGGTTTGATTCCTCGGTACCACATAAGCAAAAAGAAAAAAGCTGGAAGTGGCACTGTAGCTCAAGTGGTAGAGTGCTAGCCTTGAGCTGAAGAGCTGATGGAAAGCGCCCAGGCCCAGAGTTCAAGCCCCACAACTGGACCCAAAAAAAAAAAAAAAAAAAAAAGCCAGAAGTGGAGCTAAGGCTCAAGTGGAAGAGTGCTCAAAGTTCAAGTCCCTGGCCCACACAAAACAAGGGGCCCCCATACCTTGCATATCAATCCAGACACTAGATTTGTAGATGAATCAGACTACAACTCAATACTCTTCCATTGTTGTTTTTCTTGTTTTTTGTTTTGTTTTGTTTTCCAACGCTGGAACTCAAGAGCCTCAAATATGGTCTACTGGTGCTCTATCACTTGAGTCACCTGTCCAGCCTACAGCTGGTTATTTTAGAAATGGAGTCTCACAGACTGTCTGCCTGGGTTAGCTTCAAACTGCCTAAGTTAACTTCAAACTGTAATTGGGCGAGGCACCAGTGCCTGGCTCCAATATTTTCTTCTATCTCTACCACATTCCCACTGCACTTTATACTCCACTACATGCTCTGAAACATTAGGTGCTGCCTCATTACAGGCCCCAAGCAACAGAGCAACCAGTCAGGAAAACCTTCAAGACTGTGAGCCAACAATAAGTTCATAATTCTATGCTCGTGAACAATAGGCATTTGGAATGCATTTGTGCATAATCCATTGTCATATTGCTTAAGCAGTATATAATTAAAATATAGAGTATCCAAAATTAAATCATTTGAGATCTTCAAAAATTAAATAAAAGCAGGTAAATTTCCTAGGCTTGAACTCAGGGGCCACAAGCTGCTCCATGACTTTTTCACTCACCACTGGCACTACACTTGAGCCATATGTCTACTTCTAGCTTTTTATTTGTAAACTGGAATTAAGTCTCTCAGATCTGTCTACCTGACCTGATTCTGAACTGTGACTGTCTGATCTCAGCCTCCTGAGTAGCAAGGATTATCAGCATAAGCCACTGGGGACTGAGCTATTGTAAACTTTTATTCACATTTAATCCATCAAATTACTAATATTGCTAGAAGCATAATTCTGCACACCTACAATCCCAGCTATGTGTGAGGAAGAAGGATCAGAGTCCAATGCTAGCTGTCAAAAATGTAAGAACTTGTCTGCAAAACTAAAACAATGTGTAATAGTACTTACCTGGCAAGGCTGTGGCCCTAACTTTAGAAGCCCAGTACCAATAAAACAAAGAAAAAGAAGGAAGAAACACAACCACCTAGTTTGACTGTTCCTTACTCAAATAAAGTAACTACCCAGGATAATGCCCATAGTCACTAGCTGTGAGCATCCAAGCACTTACTTGCAGTCCCATGAGGGGTAAGATCTGAACACTGTCAAGACACACCCTCAAGAAAATAAAATAATTTTCAAGCCTGTGTTCACTATTTGTTTCTTCAAAGTACTATTATTCTGAGGTTATTCTTCTGCACTTCACCTGAAGTAAAACATTTAAAAATCAGAGAATTGTGCCAATAAGCGAGATACCCAATAACTCCAGTAAATTCTGTCATCTACAACAGAAATTCCAAAGCACTGCAAGCACTAAATAAAAGAATGACAGAAGAATCTCCATCGTCCCATGAGTAACCACATCAATTAACCAGTATGACCTCTTAGGCATTTCAATTCCTGCAGATAACTACACTAAATTTGATGTCTTCAAAATTCAAGACTCACATCAAGATGAGAAGTGGGGCCAGCATGGAGAACAAACTGAAAAAGTCCTTGTGTCCTCTGATTTAACTGGTGGTTACAGCCTCTGACTTGAGAATTTACTAAAGGGATTTCTTTTTTTTTTTTTTTTTTTTTTGGTCCGGTTGTGGGGCCTGAACTCTGGGCCTGGGCGCTGTCCCCCAGCTCTTCAGCTCAAGGCTAGCGCTCTACCACTTGAGCCACAGCGCCACTTCCGGCTTTTTTCTTATGTGGTGCTAAGGAATCGAACCCAGGGGCTCAGGCATGCAAGGCAAGCACTCTACCACTACCACTGAGCTACCTTCCCAGTCCACTAAAGGGATTTCATGTCTTAAAAAAAAAAAAAAAAAAGCCCTTATCAGCAATTCTCCATAAATAAGCTATACTTGAGAATCTGAATCCCATCTCCTGAAGCCAAACTCTACCTCTTGTGCTTTTTGCTTGGGATAAAGGAGTTTCTCGTTAAAAACAGTGCCAAAAATGACAAGAATGTTAAAAATATGTATTTTAAAAGAAAATGCCTAACGGTTTTTTAATACAGATATCTGTAATTTCCACTTCCTTTTCTAGTTCTTGGTTTTTCAACTGAGACTTCGTTCTCTTAATTCATACTGTGAAAAAAGGTGATTTAATTATATCTATCTAGTATTAATTTTTTAAATAAAATTCTTTCATCTTAAAAAAATTCAAGACTCCTCCAACTGCCAAAAAAATGTAGGCTTGGTTTTATACCATCAAAGAAAAAAAGTCTTACACATTTATGCATCTGACTACAGTAACAAATAGTGCAAAAACATTGTATTTACTGATATCATAAAATAAAGTGGAGACATAAAATAACATCACATATACACAAGGTGGCAGTATTTGCCCATGATATATATATTCAGGTTTCTGCATTTCCAAGCTCATTTGTAAATCACTAAATATTTAGATTTATTTTGTTACTAAGACCATAGAGTTCCTTTCTTCAATCTTAAATAGAGTTTTCATTTTTAAGTCTGTTTACATAAAGGTTAATCATTAGTTATCATTCCTCTCCTAGTAAGAAGTTGCAAATACAAAGTATAAATGCATATATTCCACTATTTGATAGCTAATCATGATATGCTTTGACTTTCAAGGAAGAAAAAGGCTGGTCCTCATTGGCACACAACTGTAATTGCAGCACTAGGAAGACTGAGGCAAGAAAAGGGCAAGTTCAAGTCTAGACTAAGCCACACATAGAGACTCTGAGGTCCCAAAAGATTTTGGTCTACCTTCTGGTTTATCAATTAGCTAGTAACTTTTATAAAAGAGATTTTCTGATAAATTTCCAACAAACATTTAATCAAAATTACTTCAAAAATTATTTTAGATAAAACTAGAAAAAAATCAGGTGGTGTATTTTTGAAATGTAAAAACAAAAATGTACTGGATTTCTATCTATCGAATGTCAATACTGCTTCAATTTAAATCGATTCCATATAGTAAAATATGCATACTTTTTTAAAATTCTTAAATGACTTTTATTCTGATTAAAATCTTTATCTTGTATGAATACTTATTTTAAAACCAAGATAACAAGTCTGGAGGAAGATGGGCGGAGGAGAAGCTGGAGGCTAAACAAGCTCTTGCAAAGAAAGGAGTTTTAGTGTTCCAGGCTACAGAAT